TTGCAAATGTAATTCCCTACCCTTTGGTGGGCCCATCTCGTCACAAAGAAATAAGAACCATGAAGCAACGGCATAGTTAAGATCGTGGCGTGCCTTTTATGCTGAAAAGAACCCATCATTCGAACTGGTTCTGCTTCTGCTGGTGCGGCAGCTTGCAAGATTTAAAGTCACACATTACGTTCGATGCAAATTTGACTCCCTGTTCTTTCACCGGCAGTAGCTGACCTCACAGCTGATAACAATGTCCCCCTTTGTATTTCATCTTCTCCGAGGCCAACAAACTCCGTGGAATGTCTTCCTTCTCCAGAGTATCCACAGCTGAAGCTACAGACAATGCGTAAGAGTCACTCCTGCCTAGCACCATTAGTGGCTTGGGGGGGAGGGGGGAGGAGGTGCTACTGTTGCTGCTGCAGAAACCATTGGCATTTGTGACTCTGCCCCTCCCCCATCACCCACTTGGAGAGCAAGGGAGCTTCTTGCCCAAAGACAATGCCTCTCAGTGATCCCATCAGGCTGCTAAACCTTTACATAGCTTTTGGGGGTAGCCATGTGACCTACTGCTAGCCACTATTTATAGCCTGCCGAACACAGTACCACCCTTGTGCGGTCAGCTTTTGTTGCAGTAGAGAATGCTATTATCCTCACTCCCATGCCACCCCCTATGCATACATCAGGCATGGACAATCCCTAAACTTCCACAACACAGAGCCTACATGGCATGTGGATGTTGCACCCAAGAACCCAGAGGAGGACAATTCAAAGGCAGAAGAGTCAATGTCCTGTTTATTCAAGGAAGGAGCTATGGAAGAGTCCGCTCTACCAATGACCTGTATACCAGGTAGCAAGTTCCTGCAATGTGCATGCTATCGCTTGGTAAGCTGGCCATCAACATTGTCCTGCTAGGTGTGGGAGAGTGATAAAATGTAGATCGCTATCTGGAAGGAGGAATCATAGAATTGGAAGGGACCCCTGCCCACAACCTTCCCTGGGTGGGCTCGAACCACCAGCCTTCTGGTTAGCAGCCAGATGCACTGACCCATTGTGCCAGAGGGCCTCAGATGTGACGCAGGCTGTGTGTACACTCCCATTTACTCTTCATTCAGTGTGCTCCCACCACTGGTTTGTGAAGTTGTGTCCACACAGAATTAGCCACAATCCACATCTATGCTGTGGCGTCATGAAAAATATTGTGTTTTGATGTATTCCCCACCCAAAAAAAACCTAGCTCTGATCTGACTTGAAAACATGAACATAGCCAATGATCAAGGGATGGTAACCTTTGATGTGTACAGTTGGAGGTGGAGGTCCAATTTGGAGGCCAAAGAGGACATACTGTGAGTTGTGCTGAATCTTTGCTTCCCTATCTGCCGCCTGTACCCCAACATCACATCTACTTCTTCATTTATTGCAGTTATATCAAGGCTCCCATCCAGCCACTGACCACACCCGAACCTGTCTGGCTTCAGCAAGGTTCCCATATTGCATGCCTTGAGATCAGGCCATGGGCCTATTCCCTCAGTGGGGCTCCCATTATCAGAAATAAACTCAGATATTGGAGAGAAATGGCTGGTGGGAGGGGAGCCTAACAAAGACAGTCAACAAGAGAAGTAGCAATGAGAATCGTGCAAATAAAATCCACACCATTAGTGTGTTGAAAATACTTTGCATATTTTTTGAATACTGACTGTAGGATTATATTTAATTGTTTGGAAAGTTTAAAGTGGTACTCTTGCTTGCCCCCATATTTTGTCCATTGTGAAATCTGCCAGTGATGTTCGTTCTTGTGCTCTTCCTTTGCCTGTGTTTTTACCCCAGTGCACGCTTAAAACCCGAACTCCACAGTACCTTGAGGTCTTCTCAAGGAGACACAAAGAAGCTTAGGTTGTTTGGTGGAAGCAGCCAAGGAAAACAAAGACTTTAGCAGCAGAAAGGTCGTGGGAGGGGAAGGGCAAACTAGAAGGAGATACTTTGTTTGGTCCAGTCTCCATTTCACAGGCCAAGGTGTAGTTGGGCCATGTGACACCCTTCATCCAAGGAGCTCAGGATGCCTTGCAAGGTTTCTCATTCACTCTTTTATCCTCACAAACATCCTGTGAGGTAGGATAGGCAGAGAGAGTATTTGTTCAATCTTAGTATCACAGAACCGTACAGATGGAAGGGACCCCAAGGTCCCCAATCTCATCCACCCCCTGCAATGCAGGAATATGCAGTTGTCCCATATGGGGATCAAACCTGTGACCTTGACATTATCAGCACCATGCTCTAACCAACTGAGCTACCTCAATTTCTTAATGTGACCCAGTCCACTTCTTGGCTTAATGGGGTTTTGAAGCAAGGGCTCCCCAGTCTTAGTCTGCCACTCAGCTCACTATGTCACACTGGCTGGGATGTCTAGAGAAGCCACTGCTCATTTTACCACCTCATGTCACATTCAGAGGGCAGGTTTTGTGCATTTCTGCACCTATACTATCAGGTAATCAGACTGTAAGTTGAGAAGGCTCAGGCTGTTTGAGAACACCTGTAACCGAACATCTTGTTGGTCAGGCAGAGCAGCAGCTCAGAGTTAGCAGCTTTATATGACTAGGTGGAACCCTATTGGTGCCTTGTATCACCTGACGCCTATTGAGCTGGTAGCTCAGTACTGCCCTCCAGGGATCCAAAAAGGTAGTGCTGAACTCCAGCAGAGAGCAGGCCAGTCCAGTAGTATTCCCTTCAGGAAAGCTCAGGCAAGCACCTTTCCCTTTCATCTAAAATACCTGGTTCAAGACCACAGGTGCTTTTCATATACACATCCAAGTATACTGGAAGATAAGCCAGGTTAGTAAAATAATGGAAATACGAAACACACCGAGTCTGAACATTTCATAGAATCCAAACGCTTGCTGTTAGCATTGCATGTGCATGTGAAACTATTGTTGGAGCACTAAGCTTGGATGCAATATCCAAGAAAACAACACAACCCTGCCATGTGAGAAAGAAGAGATCTGCATATGCTCCTTGCTGAAGCCATCAACAAATGCAATCAAATTTGTCAATGAATTCCAGCTGTGGAGTCTCTTGCTCCAATTGCCCTCTGAAATTTGTCTATGATCAGAGATGGAGCTCCCATTGTTCCCATGCTGCTTTGCGGCTTATCCGTCCCATTACAGCTTTGGCTCAGCCCCATCCCAGCCATCTGAATGGGATCCATTCAGCAGAGAGCAGCATGCATAAAAACAACACCGTCCACAATCTCAGGCCAGTTTTCACAAAGCTGCACATCTGTGTGTTACACATTCCATTGTGGCGCCCACATCTCACAATGGCAGCGCTTATTGTTTCTTTACGGGGCATAAAGCAAGTAACTGTACGCGGAGCCTATGATGTAATGCGCACAAATGTTCTGCCAAGGATCTGTGGAATGATAGTTCACATTGTGAACATTGTGTCAAGAGGGAGAAGGAGAATGAGAAAACAATATGAAATTGACACAACAAATTACAGTGAGTGACAAAACATACATTTTGTTCGGAATCTGCTTGATTGCAAAAAGCAATTCAGTGCCAATGTGGCCATCTTAAACTCTGCATCTTACTTTATTTGATATAAGATACTACCGTTTTTGACATCAAATTGTTCCATTTTAAAGTTTTATGTTTTATCATGACTTTTTGTATTGGGTCAGATTATTATAAGGTGTTCTTTGCTGCATATTTTGTTGCTGCAAACTGCCTTGTGTATAGTAATATAGAAAGGCGGTATACAAATTAAAAGTGAAATGAAATGAGATTTTTCAGCTGATTTGGGTGACGTAAGTCATCTGCATCCTGTAACGAACACTAAAATCAATGAGATTTGGTTACTTAACTTTCAATTCATTATATAATTTAGCTATTAGAATTACAAATTCCAGAGAAGTAGTTATGTTCATTGCAGTAAAACCAGTAAAGAGCCACCTAGCAAATTCTAGCAAATTCACTGGAGCATTGGCTTTGATGGCTATCCCTCACTTGGTCAAGTGTTCAAACTGGACAGAATCTCAGGGTCCATTAAAACATATATCACACTAAATTTGCTAGTCTTTAAGGTGCCTCAGGTTGCTCTTGTTTGTGTATCATCATTATTCCTACAAATTTTATATATATATATATATATGGCTATACAACACACACATTCAGATCTACTAGAAAGATGGAGTGAAAACCACACAGGACAATAAGAGAGCCACAAGCACAAGGAGAAGAAAATAAACTAGTAATTTCAACATTTATTTCTGTGTATTTTACAGTATTTCACTTAAAGACCAAAAGCATCATCAGTATTCATTGGATTTTTTCACGGAACTGGCAACTGATAGATTATAGTAATTTTTTAAGATAAGTTCCACTTCAATAGTGCATGTCAGAATACAAATTAATTGGAACAAAGTAAAAAATAAAAATAAACTACATTTAGCAACAAACCTGTACAAAAGGAGGGGAGGTTGCGGGGAGCGGCCCCATCGCATTTATTTTAAGGCTATGTACAAGTGTTCTGTTATTTACCTTGCAATTAGAAACTTTTCGCTTCATCTCCTTCATACTGATGCGTTTAGACAAAAACACTGTTACTAAAGTGATCAAATTCCTTGAAAACTTTTGCCGAGAAAGCAAAGAGATTACTCCCTAATCTCGGGAAAAAGAAAACATTTGTGCAGATGGGAAAGTACGGTGTCTTCCTCTCCCTTTCGTTCTAACTTTGCCCCCAAAGATGACCTTGGATCTGGGGCAGCAGGGAGAGGAAGTTGTCGGTCACTTTTTCTGAGAAAAAGATTGGCAATTCAAACAATCCAGGTGTGTATTTGTTAACTACCTTCCTAGACTGAGGGAGAAGGAGGAAAGAGGGGAAAACTTAATGTTTCAACGGTGAATATATAAGCCTTGGGCAGTGAGACTTTTATAAGGGCTGACCTGGTCTTTATTTTTGCTACAGGTTTCTATAAAGGCAAACCAGTGGAGTTTATTGCTTAAGAAATATCACACTGTTTCTTTGAATCTTCTGCAAGGGATGTGGTCAACCTTTGCACAAAGATGCAAGCAAGCGCAACACCTGGAGCACAAAGAAAACCCATCCACCCGTTTTGAAACATTTGGTGATAAAGGCGCAGGAAGTCTCAGGATCATTTATACATGGGCGCTTTTAGCGTGGGTTGGGGAGCTGGATCCTGACCCATAGTAGAAACGGTTCTGGCCAAATGTTTCCGCGTCGCCCGAGCAGCAGACGATGATGCAACCGCCGAAAAGGCAAAGAGCGGACCCAATCCAGCCCGTGTAAAGGGAATATCCAAAGCTCATGATCATGGTTTCACGGTGAGCACTCACGGGGAACCAAATCGTAGCCACAACGCCACACAGAGCTGGGGAAATATTTGGGGGGAAAGGAAAGAGAAAGATGGTCATTGTTCAGCAGGGAGCACAGAACATCATGCAAACATGTAATAATTTTAATCGTTCTTTTCTGTGATGTCTGCGCTGAGATAGGGTTGCTTTCATTTATTTGCAAAAAATTATCTCCCGCCAACATTAAGAAAAGGATCACAGAAATGTGCAGCACAAAATCAACAATAAAATTGCATCCGTGAAACAAACAGGAAATACATCACAAAACAGTAGATCAAGTTAGTACACTAAAATAGGTGGATCACCCCTCGGAAAAAGATATGGGGTAACCCAAACTGTGCACAGTATTCTAAATATTAGATGTTCTTCATGTAGCGATTCAGGAATGGGAATGGTTTTTCCTTTTAAGTCTTCCAAGGCCTGGCAAAGTGCCTAATACCTTCACTTCCTGTTTAAGCCACAGGAATCAAAGGCAATAAGACCCTCAAAAGATAATATGCATCTTAAAAACCACGCTTTTTAAGAGGGAAAGAAAATGGCTTCCACATCTGAGAATCATCAAACTGGGCAATACTTTATTTCCTGTGGAAGAGAGCTGCGCTGGATTTGGTCCCTGAGAAATCAGTCAAATAACAACAAAACTTTGGTACAGCTACATTTGTTCCAGAGACCACATCGAAAGATGTCTTGAGGCAGTGTCAAAGTGCTGAGGTTACACAACAGAGAGGGAGGGAGGGAATGGAGAAAAGAAAACAGGGACAAAAGTTTGGTTTAAAAGCAACAAACACACTATTTAGCCGGTGGGAGAATGTGACACAAAATGGCGGCGGCTATTACCGTGTGAGAGCGGGTTGCATCAGGTAAGGGGACACCAGCCTTAGGGGGCCTTTGGGCACTTTTGCAAGGTGGAGGAACTGCTGTGAGCATCACACAAACATATCCCTGGAACCAAGCACACACTGTCTCCTACCTGTTGGCTTCCTTTAACCCTAATTTCATCAGGTGGGCGAGCAGAAGAGCAGGCACCCAAACCCTCCAACATTTTTCCGATGAAAATAGGGACGTCCTAAGGAAAAGCGGGACATTCCAGGATCAAATCAGAAACCCAGACGGCTTCTGTAAATCCAGGACTGTCCCTGGAAAACAGGGGCATTTAGAGGGTCTGCTGTTGCCTAGATGGCCTAGGAGATGGTGCTGGGAAGGAATCAGCAGCTGTGGTCCATGTTGGCACCAATGGCATGAAGAAATGTCACGAGGTCCTGGAAGCATGAGCTGGAGAGCAATGAGCAGAAGTGGCTCGCGGTGTGAGACAGAGCTGCTCTGCTGCATCTTGGCAGGTGCATCATTGTGTGGCTCACAGGAGGGAGAGGCTGCAGGGAGGTCAGCGCTGTGCAAACACAGGGCAGAGCCAACCGAGTGCTCTTGCCAACACGTTTGCACCACACCAACCTTCCCTCCCTCTTTCCCTCCTGGGAACCAGCAGCAAGCCCCCCGCGGCTGGGAAGTGAGCAACGCAGCTCCATCCCATCCAGCAAGCCACTTCTGGCAACTGAGCTGCTGGCATGAGGGGTGGAAATGAACACACTAGTTCTCACTCACCTTGCTCATGTATAGGGTTTGCATGCTCTACACGCCCCTTAAATCCATTCTGGGTTTTCCCCAACACTTCAGAGCAGGATTTGGGGAGGGCATGGGGCACACGGGAGAGGAGAGGGCAGAAAGTCCTATTGCGCAAGTGGAGATCCTTGCACTGATCAGACAGTTATTGAGTAGATGCCTAGATATCTGTTCCCTAGATATTCTAGAACGTATTTTAGATGTATTCTAGAACGTATCTGTTGTGGAAAGGCTTTTAATCTTCAAAACCCATTAAAGGCATCTTTTTCACATTCAAAACTATGTGATTCCCCCAAAATTGTATCTGTTTGAGAAGAAAGCTTGTTGAACGCAAAGGAAAATCCCTAAAAAAAAGCTTGCAGAAGAATTGCTGGAAGTGACTGGGGGAGACCAAAATAGTGACTTCCAGATGTTGGGGACTACAACTCTCATCATCCTTGACAATGCTTGCTGGGGCCGATGGAAGCTGTAGTCCTATACGGCTTAGGGCCCTCGTACCTACAGGACCGTCTCTCCTGGTATGTCCCATGGAGGACCTTACGGTCTTCAAATAAAAACATCTTGGAGGTCCCTGGCCACAGAGAGGTTAGGCTGACCTCAACCAGAGCCAGGGCTTTTTCGGCTGTGGCTCCGATCTGGTGGAACACTGTCACAAGAGACTAGAGCCCTGAGGAATTTGACATCTTTCCGCAGGGCCTGCAAGACAGAGCTGTTCCACCAGGCCTTTGGCCAGGGCACAGTCTGAGCCCCTCCTTTGGTAATCCTCACAGAACTCTAGCCCAATGGTTGCCATTAATTTGATTTGAACTGATTTTATAATGAATTGATTTTAGAATGCTGTATTATTTTACTGTTGTTAGCCGCTCTGGACCGGCTTCGGCTGGGGAGGGCAGGATATAAATAAAATATTATTATTATTAGTCCAAAATATCTGGGTGGTACCACATTGGTTATCCCCTGCCTTACTGCATATTTGTTTATGCCTCATTGCTGCCTTTGATCAATCATACTGTGGTTTTCCAAACCATTTAAAAAAACATTCCACACAGCCTAAAGCACTTTGAAAATTCTTTTCTCTGTTTCCAGCCTCATTGGGTGTATTAAAGCTTCAATATGCTGTCAGATATGATGAGCAAACAGGGTTACAGGGGGCATTTTAACAACCATCAAGCAGGATGGAAGGGTGGGCACCTCTGATATGATTGTCAACCTCTGTTTTCAGCTGTCATTAAATCAGCTGGAAGATCAGAGCTTGCTATTTTCCTGGCAAGCCGCCAACAGCTATTCTGCGTTGCCTGCTGTCTTCTGTTGTGGCCTGGAGCAGATACACGGCTGCTGGATCTCCCAACCGTGGTTAGGAGGCTGGCACTATCTAAATATTTAATATGCTGTGCTCTTTGCCATTCGCACAGCAGCCAACATGGCTTACAACAAAAGTAGAAGCACATAGTCACATAGGAACCGAGGAAACCGCCTTGCACTGTTAAGACCACGAGTCCATTTAGCTCAGTACAGGCAATGACTAACTGATGCCTCATTGGATCATTGAGCTGTTGAGTTGGATGGGGTCCCCAGGGTCATCTAGTCCAACCCCCTGCAATGCAGGAATCTCAACTAGATCGTCTGTGCATGAGGGATGGCCATCTAGCCTTTGCTTTAAAACCTCCAAGGAAGGGGAGCCCACCACCTCAAAGCAGTTTACAAAAAGATAAAGCGATGAAATCCAAGAAAAAAATTACAATACTTAAAAATACACCGAAAAATTGAAATACTGAAAAATTAAAATTCCCACCAGCATTTCTAAGCCTCTGGTTAGGCTTGCCTAAACAAGAATGTTTTTAAGCAGACGCAGAAAAGAATACAGTGAAGTTGCCTGCTTGCTACAAATAGGCAGGGATATGCAGACATAGAGAATGCATGGTTCCTATTGGCTTAAGAGATAAGTATATCATGGAATCATGGAATTGCAAAGTTGGAAGGAACCACATGGGTCATCTAATCCAGGAATTTTTTCCCTCAGCAGGAGGAAGGAGGTGGAAAAAGCATGACAATAGGACCTTTCAAACATAGGCTTTCCTGCTTGCTTGCTTGCTTGCTTGCTTGCTTGCTTGCTTGCTTGCTTAAGTATTTGCTTGTGAAAGAAAAATGGGGGGGGGGGCAAATAACATTTAGGTGGCAGCCCCCCATTAACTATGGGCCTGCAAAGCCCTGGATATTTTTGATGTTCTCCTCAGTCTGCATTGCACTTTGCACTACCCTAGGTCCATCTCTGCAAGACACAGCAAGAAACTAGTCCACCGGTTTTTGCCTGGCAATTCCTACCACTCTGGGTTTATTGCCTACATGGTGTGGCCTGCAGGCAACTCGAAGCCTCTACTGCAGCTGGACACGTCTCCGCTTAGCCTCTCTGGCGTGTTGGGGGGAACGGCACAGAGCGCCTGCTATAAATAAGGCATGATGTCAGCTCTGGCTGCCACAGGGAGAGAGCCGACTTCAGGGCAGGACGGCACAAAGAGGCAACTCTCTCCTCAGCCGCCCCCCACCTCCCCCTCAGCTAAACAAGCGGGTGAAAACAAGACACCGAGGCCTGTTGTTAGGAGATGAGGAGGCCTTGAGAATACGCAGGTGCTGGAGAAGACTGTGGAGCTCATTGTTATCAGGGTGATACTGACTGGGTCTTCCACCCCACTGGAAGGGGGGGGGGAAACATAGACTGGACTGAGAGATGCTCCAGGGCACTGCCAGGGGAGCACCCCACACTGAGCAGAGCTGTGGAGGGCACACAGGGACAAGTCTCCCTCTCCAGGGTTTTATAGCAGCAAGGTCCACAGCTGTGAACCAGGCCTTTGCACTCGGTTTGCAAAATGTTAGCTGCTCCTGGGATAGGGCAGGGGAATAGTAATAAGCCTTCCTGCAGCCTTCGCCAATTGCTGTCATCAAGATGTGGGCTACAATAGGGTTGCGAGGTCAGGAGTATCTCAGACCCTGAGATTTCAAGGCCCCAAACTGAGTTTTGGGAGCAGCCCCTGGTGATTTTCCTCTGCTCTCCCTCCCATCACTGAGCCCTGGAGATGGAGGTTAATTGGGGAGCAGAGGCGTAGGAAGGTCAGGTGGTACCCAGTGTGGAAAATTTATTGTCACCCCCCCCCCCACACACACACACATTGTTTTTGTTTTTTGCCTGCAAAAATGGTTTTACGTTATTTCATATTTTCTTACAAAGGAATGTGGATTCTGGGCCTCTGATAACAAGTAGGCAACTATGGACAGGGAGGCAGGACCCTCCCTCCCTTTAGAGAAGCCTTTCTCAACTTGTGGGTGCCCAGATGTTGTTGAACAACAACTCCCATCAGCCTTAGCTAGCAAGGCCAGAGCTCAGGGATGATGGGAGTTGTAGTCCAACAACATCTTGGGGACCCACAGGTTGAGAACTGCTGCTTTAGAGAGTCTATGCAATAATTTGAGGCTGGCTTCAGCTTGCAAGCTGGACATGTAGTCTTCTCAACAAACAAACAAACAAACAAACAAACAAACAAACAGATTTAAGGCACTTTCTTCCACCTGGAGATTCAAGCCCTTCCTCTGCCACCTGGAAGAGGCAAGGCAATCCTGGAGACTTCAGGTCAGTCCTGCAGGTCTGGCAACCCTAGACTACAAATCCCATCAGCCCCAGCTAGGTGGATAGTGCTCAGTGATTATGGAAATTGTACTCCAGCAACATTTGGAGAGCACTGGCTTAGGGGCGGCTGCCTTAGTCTGTACTGTTTTCCAGCCTCCATTTTTTAAAAAATGGACCCTTTAGGTCATTCTGAGAGTCTGGGTTCTGTAATGTTTATAAAGTCCTTATCTTTCTCCCCAGGTTCCTACAAAGTCAGGCTTTCCTTTAGGAAACCTCGAAATACTACTGCATCCCCCAGTTGGAAAACTTGGCCTTTTGCAGATTAGGCTGGCGTCTCTGGCAAGTGAGTGAGCCAGGCTGTGCCCATATCTTACCCAAGAGTATTAGCAGGATTCCTCCCAGCTGGGAACGCCGGTACTTGGCCACTCCAGGTTCGTTGCCCATCCGGATGCAAGGCAGGACAGTCACAAGAAGGAACACAGCTGGCAGTCCCAAAACAGAGGCCGCAATCATCAGAGCCCGACATGCCTGGACGTACCCTGCCAGAAGGAAAAAGCGCTCAGAACTCAGGTGCCTCCTACAAGATGCAGTAAGGTATATTCATACAGGAGATCTGAAAACCTGGAGACAGTTCAGATGCCTTATCCAGACGGCTATCCATTTACACAGAGGAATGCATGCACGCCCCTTCCTCTCGTCCGTGCCCTTTGAGTAATGGGCATGTGTCCTCCTTTGCAGAGCACAGCCCTCTGTTTGAAGGAGTCCTCTGTTTAATAATAATAATATAAAAAAATTTTATTTATACCCCGCCCATCTGGCTGAGTTTCCTCAGCCACTCTGGGCGGCTCCCAATCAAGTGTTAAAAACAGTACAGCGTTAAATATTAAAAACTTCCCTGAACAGGGCTGCCTTCAGATGACTTTTAAAGATAGGATAGCTGCTTATTTCCTTCACATCTGAAGGGAGGGTGTTCCACCAGGCCCTCTGCCTGGTTCTCTGTAGCTTTGCTTCTTGCAAAGAGAGAACCGCCAGAAGGCCCTTGGCGCTGGACCTCAGTGTCTGGGCAGAACGATGGGGGTGGAAACGCTCCTTCAGGTATACAGGACCGAGGCCGTTTAGGGCTTTAAAGGTCAGCACCAACACTTTGAATTGTGCTCAGAAACGTACTGTTTGAAGGGCTGATCAGTTCAAGTATGGTTTGAAGGTTTAGGCTGCACATATGCTGTTCATTTAAAGGGCATGACACCCCCTACAAAAGAATCCTGGGAACTGTAGTTTATTGAGGGTGCTGGGAATTGTAGCTCTGTGAGGGGTAAGCTGCAGTTCCCAGGATTTGGGAGGGGGGATCTCACATGCTTTAAATGATTGCTTCACACTCAGAAGGGGAAGTAGGTGGCTTGAAGTTGTCCATCAGCAATTAGCATCTGGATTTAGGCATCTGCTCCACCACTATAATGAGGTGCATTGCGTTTCAATTTATAACATTTATTTATTAATGTGCATCTGTGTGTCTAATTTGCATATGCAAATTTTATGCAAATATGCTGCGCTCTTTCGGCCTCTTTTCTTGGTGATGCACAGGGGGCCTCCAAAAAAAAAAAAAAAGCTGGTGTGTGTGATATTCTGCTTCTGAAGCAAACGAAACAGCAAGCTCTCCACAGGTGTGTCCACGAGAAAACAAAGACTGGAATTTTGACTTTTCAAACTCTCCTAAGAGTATTTCAAGACAATTCGCTTTCCTCAACCTCGGCCCTCCAGATGTTTTGAGACTACAATTCCCATCATCCCTGACCACTGGTCCTGCTAGCTAGGGATCATGGGAGATGTAGGCCAAAAACATCTGGAGGGCTGAGGTTGAGGAAGCCTGTTCTGAATCCTGGGAACTGTAGCTTCATCCCCACACAGTTACAATTCCCAGCACCCTTAGCAAACTACAGTTCCTAGGATATGTGAGGGAGGATTCTTTAAATGCCTGGGGTGGACCGGCCCACAGCTGAAAAAGGTTACTGACCCCTGGTCTGGAGGAAGAGGAGTGTGTTCAGCTGGCATGTAAAGGTGTATAATGTTGCCACCAATCCAACCCCACTGGAGAAGCTTTTCCAAACTGGGGTACCATTGCCAAGAAGGCCCTCCTGCAACCACAGAACATCACCCAGTAGGGCTGTCCCTACCATTAGGCAGAGTGGCTGCTTCAGCCAGCAGATTTTGGATGTCATGAAAGGGCAGTGAAAAAGTAATTTGTTATTGTTGTATTTTTACTTCCAAGGCACTTGCAGAGGTACTTGTGGGATTTTCTGCCTCAGGTATATAAAGAAACACACATCTTGGATGCTAAGCAGATTAGTGCACTGGCCCTGCCACTCAGTGATGATGTTACTAATAGGGCCCCTTCAGCTGATCTCAGAGCCCAGGCAAAACAGAATGGGGTGAGGGGTTTGTTAACTACAGTGCTTCTTCAGGTAGATGAGTTCTAAGCTGGTGAGGCCTGTATATGTCAAACCTAAAACTCAAATTCTCAAACCCTAAACTCTGAATTGGACTTGGTGACAAAGAGGCAGCAAGTAGATTATTATTTTTTAGGACTAATGTGATGTGGTCCATTAAAACTCTGGCTGCTGTATTTTGCACCAGTGGTAGCCTCCATATTGTCCTCACAGGCAGCACCACGTCAAACAAATTCTAGTAGTCCAAACAGAATGTTACTTGACTGTGAAAGGGGAAGGCCGTATCCAGCTATAGCTGGAGAAAGTAGCTAAAGTATGCATGTGGTTCCATGCTCTTGAAATTAAAAATTCTGGAGCCTAAATGAAGTCTAGGCCAGAACAGATCCAGTGAGAATGGCTAGAGGAAAACCTGATATTTTGAAAGGAAAGCCCTTCTGGATCAGAGCAAAGTTCCATCTAGTCCAACATTCTGTATCCTACAGTGGCCAAGCAGATTCATCTGAGAGGTCCACAAGTAGCATTGTGAAGGCATAATACCAGAACCCAGAGCTATCCAATGAAGCTGAATGTTGGAAGAATCAGGATAGACAAAACAAACTACTTCTCAGAACCGGGCCAGCCATAAGGCAAGGTGAGGCAATCGCCTCAGGCAGCAGATCCAAGGAGCCCATTCCCCCTGCCAACCCCCACCCACTCCTCCCTGGCCTCCTTCTACTCCCCTACCACTGCGAAGAGGGAGCTCTGTGTGTGTGTGTGTGTGTGTGTGTGTGTGTCAGTGGTTGTGGTGAGGACTGCAGAAGAAGAGAAAGAGGAGGGGGAGCACCATTTTCTTTTTTCCTTCAACCAGCAAAATGTCCTGGCTTGACCCTGATACCTCTTCACAAGATGTGGTGGTGGCCACTGACCTGGATAGCTTTAAAAGGAGCTTAGAAAAATTTGTGGAGGATAAGGCCATTAATGGTTGTTGGGAATCACAAGTGGGGAGAGTGTTGTTGCGGTCTTCCCACGGGCATCTGGTTGACTGCTGTGAGAACAGAATTCTGGCCCAGATGGGCCTTTGGTTTGATCCACTGCTACAGCAATGTTGTCAATGAAGGCCAACAACTGCCTTTAAAAAAAAGAAAAGAAAGCAAAAGGCAAAGAGCATTTATCTTAGGCGTTATTTAAAATTTTTGAAAAATCATAGCAAAGATGCTTAAGGACATAAGAAGAGCCTGCTAGATCAGTCCACTAACCGATCAAGCCTGTTCTCACAGCAGCCAACCAGCTCCCTATGGGAAGCAAGCATAAAACCACAAGGCCCAGAACAGAGCTTTCCAAACTTTTCGTGTTGGTGACACACTTTTTAGACATGCTTCATTTCGCGTCACAGTAATCCAGTTTTACTAGGAAACTGGAGGTTCAACTAAACCCTTTCCAGCCCCGGGAGGAGCGTGGGGAACGTTTGTGTGACACACCGTAGCCAGACACACAGTTTGAAAGGACGGTGCAACAGGAGGCATCCTTTGACCCATGGTCTTCGGATTCATCATGGACCACACTTCCTCTGCTGACATTTACACTGGGTGAACGTTAAGCAGTCAACCTGTGTGCCCTATCGTGTTAGCAAACTAGAGACTGGCAAAGAGGAACACTGAGTGTGCAAGGAGCCTCTGTGCACAACTTAAATGATGCTGCGGTGCTGGTCATGAGAGCAATGTGGGATTCTCAGCTTCAGAGGCACTCTAAATCCAATTGCTAGGAAACAACAGCAGGAGAGGCATTGATAGACTGCTTGTGAGCTTCCCAGAGCCATCTTCGTACCTACTGGGAAACACATGAAGCCAGACCATTAATTAGATCCAGAAGCAGTCTTCTTATATTCTTTTGAACACTGCACTAGCATGCAAGCATTGCAAGGAACTTTTAACGCAGTGATGATCTGCATGAGTCCCTGCACAGATAGGCTCCTCATATTGTATTTCAGGCCTACAAGTTGCCCACCCATGAGAGCTTACAGCATGCAGGGGCTAACAGTGTGAAACCAAAAGGTCTCTGATTCAAACCTCCCCTCGTCTTTGAGCTTATAGTAGGTGGCTCATGCTCCTCACACTAATCTTATCCATTATCAGCACAGCAAAAAAAGTATGATTATAAGAAAAGGCCTTCTGAATCAGACCAAAGGTTGGCCATGTCCAGCATCCTATTTCACAGTGGCCAGTCCAATGCCCCCTGGAAACCAAGAAGCAGGCCTCTCCCATTGTTGCTCCCCGTAAGCTCATATTCTTCAGAGCATTGTGCCTCTGAACTTTAAGATTGCATATCAGCCTTATCACCTTGCCAACAAAGGTCCGTATAGTAAAAGCTATGGTTTTCCCAGTAGTGATGTATGGAAGTGAAAGCTGGACCATAAAGAAGGCTGGTCACCAAAGAATTGATGCTTCTGAATTATGGTGCTGGAGGAGACTCTTGAGAGTCCCATGGACTGCAAGAAGATCAAACCGATACATTCTGAAGGAAATCAGCCCTGAGTGCTCACTGGAAGGACAGATCCTGAAGCTGAGGCTCCAATACTTTGGCCACCTCATGAGAAGAGAAGACTCCCTGGAAAAGACCCTAATGCTGGGAAAGATGGAGGGCACAAGGAGAAGGGGACGACAGAGGACAAGATGGTTGGACAGTGTTCTCGAAGCTACCAGCATGAGTTTGACCAAACTGCGGGAGGCAGTGGAAGACAGGAGTGCCTGGTGTGCTCTGGTCCATGGGGTCACGAAGAGTCAGACACGACTAAACGACTAAACAACAACAACATGACTGGTAGTCAGTCAGCAGCAAGCAAACTTATACTGAATTAGACCACTGGTCTAGCTAGCTCAGTATTGCCTCAGTGACAGTAGCTCCCAGTGTATCAACCAGGGATCTTTCCAAGCCTTGCCTGGAGATGCTAGGGATTAGATTTGAGGCCTTCTGCATGCAAAACAGATATTCTGTCCTGAACGAACCCCTTTGGTGGAAGCCTTGTACAAGAGCTTCTCTTTGCACAATTGAACCTGGGACATTTTGCGTACGCGGCATGTTCTCTCACTGATCCACCACAACCCTTCTCTAACCCTTTGTGAATTTTGTCTGATCTCCAAAGATTCCTAAGCTTGCGACCGTTACCACCACCTTGTGGCTGCAAGTTGCATAAATGCATTGCGAGCTGTGTGAAGCAGCAGCCCTCTCCTTTGTCTCTCCTACCAATCGGTTTAAGAAAGAATGTCAAAGCAGCATGCACGAAAATATAACAAAAAAGAGCAAAACCAGTATTTGCTCTTCTACAGGCATTTAAATATCTTCTACCATAGCCATTGTAATAGCACAGAGTGCAAGCTCAGAAGCCCTCAGTTTGAATTCAACCATCCATACCCACTAAATTAAACCTGGAGAGGCCCCTATCAGCATCCAGATGTGAGGAACCTTATTTGATCATTACTCCCACTGAAATCAGTGGAATTTAAAGCCAATTAGTGTATACTTGGGACTGAACTGTAAGAACCAGGGTGGGGTTTGGTGGTAAAATAATATGCTGATCCATCTTTCGTCTGTGGAGTTTCAAAGATTTCCACTTCTGCAAAATAATAACCGTCTGCTTGCCTGAGCATGCACAGAGTGCATTTCCCTAACCACAACATACAAGATTAAAGACCAATGCTGCCTGGTCAAACTTTCAGAAAAAGTTGAACCCAAGCAACCTTCTCTTAAAAAAAAAAAAAGCTAATAATCTCTTAGCCAGATTTTGCACTTACCAAAGTCAACATACCTGCACACACTTCGCCCACTTCGTAGAACTTCTTAACTTCCCTGAATGCTTAACTTTCTCCTCCCATCCTCCTCCCCTCCAGTCCCTGTTATTTTCCCAGCAGTGGATTGTAAGATCCTTGGGACAGAGACTTTTCATTTTTTTTTTTGGCTTGTTACTCTGTAAAAGCACCTTGCACATGAATGCAACCAAATAGCCATCGGAGCCGCACTGTTGATTTCAATCTGCCCTAAAGTCCCAAGCAGCCCTTGGGAGTTTTTGGATAGCCCATACCTGGCAATATGAGGATGTCCACCAGCGGCTTGCAGTGATAGAGGCCCGTTGCCATGACACAGTCTGCCCACAGCCCTTTGGACCCCAGCTCATCCATCTTCCTGCAGGTGGTGATGGTATAGCCGCAAGTCACGACCCAGTCATTGGTGGAGGTTGCCACAATCAAGCTAATCCAGCCGACAAAGCTAGCCACAAATCCCGTGAGGTGCAAGCAGGTGGCAACCATGATTTTCCTCTGGGCCGGTGAGCCAGGCAACCCAGCAGTTTAAGAGAAGAGGGTGGCTGAGGGTTGCTGCAAGAGTCAAAGAAGCGTGGAGACTGAGGAGCAACAAATGGCAGGGTCTGCCTTTGAGCTGTCAGCAGAGAGGACTGGAGGCTGATGTGATGATGGGCTGGAGGATACAAAGATGCCTCACATCAGTTAGTTCGGCCTCTGGGAGGAGCCCACTCCCACACAGCTTGATGGGAGGTGTCATGCAAAATGCCAAGGGTGTGTTTCATCTCCCTCCCCCCTTCTTTTCTTTAAAAAAAATCTCTCCAACTAAACAATGGGAGAAGTTAGCCTACTGAACTAAAAGAAAAAAAGCCAGAAGGAAGAAGCTACAACACAGATAGTAGCTCAGGCCTTCGTGTGACACTGAAGAGCCTCCGATGTCTATACTGAATTTGAAATGATTTTTTGCATAGGAAAGTGTTTGTAATTGTTATATATGAAATTTTGTACGGGGAGCTTGCCGATTGTATGTGTGAAATGGCTTTGAGATATTTTATGGGAAATGATTCATAAACGGAATTAAATAATTGCAAAACTCCATCCACTGAAGGGGATGGAGGACAGATTTTGCAAAGCACTTTTGGCTCTGTCCCAGAATGAGAGGCGGTGGCTTATTTTTTTCTAGAGAGAAAGTTGCAAGACCAGGAAGATCCCATGAATGGCAGTGGCCCCATTGCAAGGGGTGTGGGCAGATGCCCAACAAGGCCTACTATGGATGATATTGATCATTTTTTCATTCCACAGTTTTAAATGCATTTCTCCATCAGTCTCCCGACCACAAAAATTCTGTTGTTGTTTTTCCAAGTGGATTTGTCACAGTGGAGCAACAGTGTTTTAATCCACTTTACGTGTGCAGCCTAAATTCCTCAGTATGTACCTGTATCACTCCTGCAAAACACTGGCATTCTGGAGGTGTCCTCTATCTGAGGGGGGTTTGCATTCTTAGATGATTAAATGTACTGCATACCTTACTGTAGATGCCAGAACCTCCCTCCTCCCCCCCCAAAAAAATACTGCAAGGTGGATGCTTGGCAGGGAGGTAAGGGTACAAACTCATTCCAAACAGATTGAATATTGAATCCACAAACCAACCGCTCATTAACAGCATCCATCTCATCAGGTTGAGGTGGTTTTTTTAGGGGTAGGGCATCATCCACTTTATTATTAATCTCAAACACTAATTCAGCACTTTTATGGTCTTACCCAAATCAGGGGGGGAAAGCAAGTATCTGGAGGGTCACAGGTCCCCCGCCCAATCTAAGTGATTTTTATTATTAATTAAAGATCCCAAGGTGGCTCACAACACAAAAATACAGGATAAAAAGCACAAACTGCATAATAAAAGCAAGAACAAAAACAAACCGATAACCGCCCTCCTTTCCATACATAAATTTAAGAGGGTGTCAGATGTTAACCAGCCGAAGGCCTGGTTAAAGAACAACCTTTTCTGTCTGGCGCCTGGCGTATGATGAAGATGCCAGCTCAACCGCCAATCCTAAACACAGCTATATGGAAACAATGCATTTATAATCAAGGTGTAATTTATGATGCTCAGAATAAATTCTTTTAAAAGCATACTATTTTAATATGCATTTTAATTTAGTATGAAGAAGTTCTGTAATAACATAACAAAATTCGCTCAGCATCCTGGCTGTCTGAATTGCAAATGAGAACAGTCTAAAGAGAATCTGCTTCTTCTGGTGCTTCAAATGTTCAAATATTCTTCGTGCCGAAAGCGCCGCAGACGAACATCTGGGTTTCTTTCCACTGATAAAATATGCCTGTAGTGACCACTAGTGGATTTTTTCTGGAACTGCACTCCAGACTGATTAGGTACACAGCTCCAAGCCCGGGAGAGTTAAGTTTGCTGTACATAGGGCTGGTTCACACAATGTATGTGCCTATCACATGAACTATTCATCAGTGATTCCACTAGGGATCGACCTCAAGTCCAACATCCAGGGCTCTGCTCCCCCAGCCACAAGACCAACCGGAGAGCTGCAGAATTCAACACTTGATGACTGCCAGGTGAACATGTGAACATGTTGCTTATACAATTCCTGCTGCTGTTTTTCAATCTGTGATGCCTCATTCACATAGAAGGCACTACTATGGATTACTATGCAGTTATGGACCTGCACAGATGGAGCCAGCCCATCATGTATAAGGGAACAACATATACATTTCATTCCTTGCCATATAAGGCATTTTTCATTTAGATTTTTTAAATGCTCTTTTATGTAATTTTCTGCTGGTGCTTTTCATCTATTCTATTTTTTGGCTTTTAAATTGCATCACTCCCTACTCAAGAGAATGTAATAATAATAATAAATGCTCCAACCCATTACATGTAAGAGGAGCAGCGTTGACAGCCAGTCAGAATTTTGCCAGCCTGGTCAGAATTTCACTTACTGATCAATTGCCAGTTTCATGAATAGCCAGAAAAGGAATACTACACACACACACACACACACCAGGAACTGAAAGGGAATCCCCTTTCATGATATTTATGTTCAAGCCACTTTTGCCTTCATTGTACAGCTATTTACATTAACTGAAATACCTGAAAAACCTCTTTGACATGGGGTAACTGAAATGTGCAAACATGATGTCTCCGACGGCATTCAACTCTCTTAAAACTATTGTCTGTCTCCAGCCTTACAGGTCTGCTGATCTATGCCGTTATGAATACTAGAGTGAATGGTACATTGTCAAATGCACAAAACTAGCATTGAGAAATATCTTGAACAAACACCCAATTCACATACTATATGTACAAAGTACACAAAACGTGAAGTGCTTGACATTAGAATTGTTTTTATTTGTATGTGGATCCACAATCTATACAGGATATTTACAATGCATGAAAAATGGAAAACTGCACAAAATACAATTGAGGTATAAGCTAAGAGCACAGTATGTCATGTTTCAATAAATAGAATTCAAAATTTGTAAACTAAGTGACCAGATAAATGCATCTTGTTTTACTAAAACCATACAAAATATCTGTTTTTGTATCACATGAGGTAGAGGCCAGCTTTGTGTGTCATGTAATGCAATTACAGCAACTCCAACCGTAGAACTGTACATCATTGGCAAAACGTCAAAAATTATTGGTATGCACCAACCTTTAAAAAAAACTTTTGATTTATTTATTTTTTAACTCCAGTAATCCCACCTGTTGCTATGAATGTTTTGCAGGACCTATTAAGTCTATAAATTATTTTCTTTAAAGATCTTGACGCAATCCAGAAAGGTACTTTATGTTTGTCCAATGACTTTTGTATATGCCCAGCTGGACAACAAACCATATATGATATATATGAACAGCAAACCATAGGACATATTGCAAACTAATTTTTAAACTTCAAAAATGATTTGCTGTATGGGCATGATAAACTGCTGGTCCAGGTAAATACCAAAGGTCCTGATGAGCAAACAGAAGGTGGTCACATGCTGCTCTAGATTGTGGAAATATATTAAGGTATCAGCATCAATAAATACTTTCAAAAGCATCATGAACACATACAAAATAGAAGTTTGTCATAGTCTTGCTTATTCTGGAAGGCAATACAGCTGCATCCGGAAATTTACAAACCAATAATTTGTATGGATTCACTAGAGTGATTTAGATACATTACAACTGTGCTTCCTTTCTCTTTAAGGTGAGGTATTTGAAAGAATATAATGGATTGCTATACTTATCAGGATATTCATTTGGGGGGAAATAAGAACTTGTTTCACTGTGCTTGAATATTTCAGAGCACCAGAGAATTCAAAGTATCCTCTATATTGTGGGTTTACAAAAAAAAGTTGTGCAATCTGTTTAATGTGTGACTTTTGCTTTTATAATAGAGAGCATCTGCAACAACAAAAATATCAAAAGATTTCCAGGACAGGAATTATGGACTGCCTCACATTACAACAGATGTAATGGATGAAAACGCTGCAGAGCAAGTATAACAAAGAGATCAAGCTGCCATTTCCTGGACAGAGATATTTTACAGCTGCAGCATAAATATTTCAAGCATAGGATTACAAGAGAATTTAAGTATTTTGTTACATTATATTATCAGGGTTTTAAAACATGTTAATGGTATGTATATATTTATCCGCGTTCTCCTGTGCAAAGAAAAAGTTTTGCCTTTCTAAGATCAAATGAACTTTAGCATAGGAAGCTGACTTGGAAAGTGTTTGGAGGTCAGCTACATAGCCCTCTGAAAACGACTCCAAGGTACATCAGTCAGCCATTCACGCAGCTGTTTTTACGGCAAATTCTGCCCTTTCAAACGGAAGCTAAGGGAAAAGTGGAAGTTCAGGTCACTAGAGGCTCCAAGAATGTGGAACTAAGCAGCAGCGAGTAGGCAAAACTGCTTCATAGTACTCTACAGTCCCCACAGCCTAGTCTACTGCAGGGGTTGCATTACAATACCTTAACTATGTACAAATGATTTTACAGCTATCAATATATTAAATATATAATAAAATTAATCCAAGAATGTAAAATATACCCCATAACTACCATGTTTACCTCAAATACTCAAGCTAAGTGATATAAGACCTACTGGAAAGTAAAAGAACAATTTGTCTGAACACATTTTGCTAAAGCTTTTTGATCTAATGTCAAAGGGGTTGTGTCTTCAAGTGCGGATGAAAGTCTTTAGGGCTGCCACAAGGGTAAGATACTTTGCTCCCTAACATTTCCTGCAGAGTCTATCGCACCCTGCACTATTTGGTTTTTTAAAAGCAGGGATGCCAAGAAGCATATTTTTTTCTTAAAAGTATTCTTGGCAGCCTTGCTTCTAATGGTATGGTTTTTAGTGCTTTTCAGAAACATTAATGGAGAAGACAAATTGGAAACAAACCTATCTAAAAGGCCAACACAGGGATGACTTTTTAAAGAAAAGCCTTCAGTAATTATTAACATACAGAATGAGCATGCGAAGTCTAAAAGAGCAAATTTGAATTTACAGGAAAATTTGTCATAGGTCTCTGTAAATGGGCAAAGCCTTGTATGCAATTCAAGCTATATAGGCATGGAGTAAATCATCCATTAGATACGTCATGTTAAGAGATAAACGTAAGAAACTAGCTGCTGTAAAACATAGACTATTTACAATTTACTACAAAACTATCTCTTGGTGGCTATGGACACCTATGGCACACTTCTATGTATTAATTGCTTAACATCTAGGGAAGTCTTATGTAAAGGAGGCTGAAATTAACTGTTCAATTTAAGGGTTACAATTATGATTTCTTTGATTATAAGTTGGTGTGTCATTTGGTTTTACAAATTTTCAGAGACATTAAACAAACCTGAAAGTGGCACTCTCTCTCTCCCTCTCACGTCAACAAATTATTACTACTACGAACGCATCTAAAATATAGTCAAAGTTGCCACATGTTCATCTCCGATATGTGTTGCAACTATAGCAACGTTTAGGACAAACACTGCTGATCTTTGCATTTTAGTTACCAAATCCTGTCTAAATAGAAACATGATAACAAATTGTGACATCATTCGTTCTATAAAACTGCTTTTATAATGGAAAATTGGGGCAGAAAGAAGGAAGGCATTATATTGCAGTAAACATTCAGGAAGGATTGTGTCCAAAGTTCAGCGGTGGCTCAACTCTTTCTGTAGCAGAGGACAGAAAACCTGTTGTCCTCCAATAGTTGCTGGGTTCCAAATCTAATCAACCCCAGCCAACTGGGAATGGTCAGGGAGTGATGTGAATTGCAGTCTAGCAGCATCTAGAACAGGCCCATCCCTGCACTAAGATCGGGCCAGGCTTCTCCTTGTATTCAGGACAGGAAAGCAAACATTGGCTAACTGCTAGCATCCCAAGAGAGTTAATTACCAAATGGCTCAAACACTCTCAGAGTCAGTTCAAAAACTACATATATTACTAATGAAAGGTGTTAGCAAGTTAACTTGGTTACTGATCAACAGCCACCTCCATAATTGCAAGGAGATTTCCCCAGCTCCTACAACTAGTTATTACCACTGGTCAACAACACACAGCATCTACTTAATGCTTTCCATCTCTACATGGAAGACAGTCTCCTCAGATAACTGTGTGAGAAGCAAAATTTTATGTCTGAACTCACCTTTACCTTGCAAAGGGGGGGGGGAGTACTAGATAAAACAGACTCAGAACTTTAAAAATCAAATAGTAGCTTTCATTTCTGACACCCAATAGCAGAACAGTGACCACAATTCAACACAGAGTCAGATGTGCTCACTGATTTTAGTGGGAAGCACAACGATCTATTGGATTACCATTATCACAAAATAAAAGATGATAACCTATGTTAGTGATACCTCCAAGAGTAGACCCACTGAAATCAATGCATCTGAGTGAGCTAAGTCCATTGATTTCTGTGGGTCAATTCCACTATGACTAACATTGATATTCCCCATAGTTTTCAGTTTTTAGGTGTGCAATCAATGGATAAATAATCTAGGTTCAGTGATTTTGACCCAAATATAACCTTTTCCCACATATCCCAAGAACTGCTTCAGGAATCTACCTCTGCTGACCACCCTGGCCACTGGCAATAGTCTTTCTGATTCTGTTTATAGGATCATACTTCCTAAGAGGAAAGTAAGAGACGTGCCAAGAGCAACCAATCAATTTACTTTTGATTGATCACTTGAATGCCTAAACAAGTTAAAGACTGAAACAAGTATGGAGTTATTACCAATAAGATAACTTATAATGTAAAACAAGCATGTGTGATACTTAGCTCTACTTCTTCCCCCATTTGTCTGAAATGTGCTAAATAGCAGCAAAATACTTTAGCATGCAAAAAAATAATAATTCACAAGCATGTTGTACTTGAACTAGTAGAATATATGAACAAATAACCTGTTAAGACCAACAGTGGAATATGCTTACCTGCTTTGAAAATGAACACAATCATAATTTATTCTGGCAAAATTAAATATTGAAATTGGTATATTCTACTGCAATAATATTTAAGGATGCAAAACACCCGAACATGTGAGCATAATATTTCTCATTAAAATTTAGCTATTTCTTCAGTAGTACTGCACTATTATTGAAACAGCAAATAAAGGCATGCAAAACATCTTACATGTTAGAAGCACTATGAGGTGAACAGTTAAATGTGGGCAGAGACAGCATTTAGCATTTTTAGCTGCTTAAGATGTACATTTTAGGCAGCAATGTCCAATCCCAAGACTTCGTTTTCTACTAGGTTCAGCTCCAAGCAACCATTTTTTTAAAAAAAAGCTTTGTGGTGATGTACAAGCTGACTGCTTGGGATGTAAGCACACAATTGTTTCACCAGGTCTTGATCTCCACCCACAAACTTGGCAGCTGTGTTACGGAGTCTCACAAGTTTGTTTTCCAATCCCTGTGTTATTTAACATCTACATTCAACTGCTGGGGAAATTGTCCAAGAACACGGGGTGTTACGCTATCAACATCACTCAGCCCTTTCATCCTTTGCAACAGGTGCAGGTGTAATGGTTAAGGCCTAATTATAGACACTGGATGTACAAATTCAATCCAGTTAAGATGGATCTGGTTTTGTTGAGAGGTTTAACACCCCAAGAAATTGTGGATTTACCTGTTCTAAGACGGTCATACTTCCCCTTGAATATAAATATAAATTTGAATTAAAAAAAGGATATAAATTTTCCAGGTTCCTGGATTCAGGGGGTCCTTCTGGATTTTCATTTTTATGTGGCCAGAAGTGTGCTGTACCAGCTTCAGTTTGTGCAAAAGCTGCATTACTTTCTGGGTGGCAAGGTCCTTGCTATTGTTTTGCATGCCCTGGTAACATATTCACCGAACTAATATAATTTGCTTTATATGGAGCTGGACTTATCAAAGGAGACAGACTGCGCAGATCCTGTACCCTTAAATCCAGAAATGCACTTATACATTTTATTTTGCCGGGCATTTAGTCTGTTTCGTTTTATATTGTCACCTGCTTGTTGCTATGTGTGTTATAGTGTCGTTTTATGATGCCATTGGTTTCTTTTTATTAATTTAGATTGCTGTGATCACTCTGGGGAGCTGAAAAAAAAGAATTTATTTTAAGTTTCTATCCCACCCTTACTCCCCCCAAAAAAGCCCAGGCCAGCAAAACATAACTGGAAATGGTATTTTTAATGGTCCCTAAATAGTGTATAGTTTTTTTAAATTAAAACATAAATGCTCCAGGTCCACACATGTAGCGGGCCTCCACAACATGCAGATCAGATGGGGATGCACACAGAGTTGGACATCACTATCTGCAGTTGTCGTTTGCAGAAGTGGCTTGTCAAGTGAGACAGAACCACTATGTTAAGATTCCTAGCAGGTGGGGGTGCTGTTTACCAGGAGGGAGTAGGGGATGTGGCAGGGAGGTTGGGGTGCAAATGCAGCTCCCCTGTATGTGTGCTTGCTGTGATCTGACATCTCCACCCATTTCCAGTAAGCAACAGCAACTCACTTACTGGAAAGCTAGAGCAGCAGGTCTGTCCTACCCAGTGAGCTGGATCTGGTTGTTCATGCAAAGGCACCGTCCCATCCCACGATGCAATGCGTATCCCACACACATTTTTGTGGTTTCGATGGCATGCAGCACCTATAGCTAGGACAGGGCAACGAAGCTAGAATTTCTGTGAAATATATTGGTCACGTTGCTTTTTATGTTCAATGATCTGAATGTAGGCCTAGGTTTTGAAGATGATTTCCCCGCCCCTCTTCACCAAAAGCCATTCAAATACAATACTTTTGAGCAATTAGATATTTGTCTACCTGATCTATTTTACCTTCTATATAACAGAACTGCCTTTCCTTCTGGATAACCCAAACTGTACTCAGGTTTCCACCAACAAAAAAATTGTCCATTGAAGTTTATACGTAAGCATCTAAAAAAAAATATTAATAATCCACCAATTTATTTCCCTTCTGTTAATATACTTTATCTGTTTGGTTTCCATTGGAAAAAACACTGGAACTGAACTACTTGATTACTGGCAACAGCCTATCAGCACACTAAACATCAGATGTCCCAATAAGGATCTTAGCATTTCTTTTCAAAAGAAGTAAAGGTTTAATAACTATGTTGTGTACAAATGATAGCAATTTTACTTTGCCGTTTAAATGAACCTTATTAGCATCACTTTCACAATATCACAGACTCCATTTGTTCCCCCTCAACTTTTAAAATACTTTTAAAATGTCAAGACCACTCACTTTCCTGTGCTCAAAGAAAATCCAGGAATGAGAACTTTATTGCTAATGAAGTAACCCACTCAGCTGAGGGTTAAAATTGCCACTCTACAAAATAAGGCTGACATTTTCAAACTTCCAAAGGTGTTTGGGAATCCTCAAAGAACTGTATCAAAAGTGACATTTTCTGTCATCATTGCTTGAAGAGTTACCCAAAGAAGCTGAGAGTGAATAGGAAGCTTTGAAAATAAAATATCTCAGTTTCTACTTCAGCAACTCCTTTTCATAACAGGATTCAGCAGGGTACTGAAGGAATTGGCATTTGGCATTTTAACAGTTAATAACGGACAGTTAACTGTGTGAAAATCTGCATTTTGAAAAATGTTCGCTGTTGAATAATTACCAGTTAGCAGTTCTCAATCCAGCTTTAATAATCAAAATGAAGTATCAGGCTAGAACAATGCATGGCAGCAAATTCTCTACAATCTCTTCTTTCTGCTTTAGATTCTTGGAACTATATAAACCATTTTATGAAAATGGACTGCATGCAATAGAAAGCAAATATGCAGCTCCTGCATATTTTGAAAGAAACCAAAGTTGCACTCAGTAAAAAGTATATAGAGCCCTCGAAACAGCTTGTAAAATAAAGTTACACTGAGGAGTGTAAAACACTACGGGTTGTATCCAATGCTTCCTCTTCCTCTCCTTGCATGTTCCCCAACATCTGCTCTGGAAGCTCCCCCAACCTACAAGAGCTGATTTGAGGATATGCAGGGGGTTATAGGGGAGAAAAGAAGAAGAGGAAGTTCCACTGTACAAGTGAAAGTCTGCTTTGCGAGCAGAATAGCAGTGCTGGATACAACCAGTGGTTTCAACACTGCTGAAAACCATAAAAAAGAAAGCAACATAAATACAGATTTTGTCAGTCTGGAAGTTTTACAAAGGTGTATTGTTACAGATTTAAATGCATAAATCGGACACAATCTACTGGGAACTTCTCTTGTGCAAAACGTCATTGAAATGATTGGGAATTGCAACAACTCCTACTCCATTGATGCTCTGCTCACATAGGAAAAGTTCCCCATGATTGTCCCAATACCTTCGCTGATCCATGGCTTGACTTCCCCTTGGCAGGACATTTATTAGCCCTGCTGAGAAAGTGCAGATACAATCTCGTTGGCACTTTCATTTCCCTTTGCCGTTTTTTGAAGACTTCTGAATCTGAAGTTTTAATTCCTTGATCATCATCTCCAACTTTTGCCTCGCTTCTCGTTCCTGTCTCAGTTCATCTTGAAGCTCCTGTCGATCGGCCTCAGCGTGATCCAGCCTCTGCCTTAGCTCTGCCAGCTGCAAATTTTTAAAAGGAGAGAAAACTTCTTAATGTATCCCCAGCCATACAACTCTAGAAACCATGCAGTTGTTTCTGAAACAACATTAAGTAAGGTATGTACAGACTCGAGCCCACTGATGCGGCAATGTGAGCTGCCTGCTTCAAAAAGTGGAAGCCAAGCGGCAGTCCACAATTTACCTCCAATTAGCCACCAGCAGCACTAGTTTCCAGCAAAATCTCACCACGCAATACAGTTAAGAGAGGTGCAGAGGCAGGGTGACAGCAAAGGGGAGGCCACAAGCGGCAAAACAGGACATGCAGAATCTTCAGTGCATAATAATCAGCATCACATTTCTATTTATTCATTTATTTATTTGACTTGTATCTCACCCTACCTTCAAAGCAACTTAGCAAAAGGCAAAAATAGACACACATATGTGTGCAGGAGCGGACCTTGGTAATATGCTGGCCTGTGCAAGGCCATAATTTGATCTAAGGCAACAATGACTGTAATCAACATTAAACCACAGTTCATGTTTAATTACGATTTAATGCAAACAAGCAGGGCGCTGGCGTAGTCAGTTCAAAGATTTCCGCCTTGCTTCTTCCCCACACCACACTGGGAGCAACAACCACAAGTCATGACTTCTCGTGTCACCTGAATCCAGCTCATGGTTTGTTTTCCCCAAACAATGAAGCAGTAAACCAAGAGCTAACCTTGGCTACTAATCATGGCTAGTCTTGACATAAACCACAGTTCTAACTTCAGATGTCACAAGAAGTCAAGGCTTGTGGTTTGTTGTGACCAAAAGTGAGGTAGGACCAAAATGGAGAATTTCAAGAAGCATGCACCAGCACATTACTCATTCACATTAAACCACAGTTCAACATTAAGAACCGGGCCCTTCTGTCCTCTGGGAAATGGATTCCTCATGACACACATAGGCCAATTTACCAAACAGAAATATGTAGACCAAGATTCCTCTGGAATTAGTGAGCTATAGAAGCCATCTAGTGGAGAGCTTTAGTATAAATTTTACATTTCAGCACAAATGTAACAGGGTTTCTTTACTACCAGCATACTAGAAAGTGTTCCTAACAAATGATTTACAATCTAATTATGGGATCTTACATACACTTACTTTGAAGTAAAATCAGTGATATACAGGGTCAATTCATGCATGGTTCAGATTGCTTAAGCTACCCATGTGCAGGAAAAATTGTGACCTTTTCTACTACGTACAGTGGTATCTTGGTTGTTGAACAAATCGGCTCCCAAACGCCACAAACCTGGAAATGAGTGTTCCAGTTTGCAAACGTTCTATGGAAGCCAAATGTCCGACGCAGCTTCCGATTGAGTGCAGGAAGCTCCTGCAGCCAATCAGAAACCATGCCTTGGTTTTCTAATGGTTCCGGGAGTCGAACGGACTCCTGGAACGGATTTAAGTTTGACAACCAGGGTAACACTGTATAACCTTTAATGAGAACTGGAGTGTTTATAAATGAACAGCTCCATCATTAAGTCAGTCTTGTATTTAATGATTCAATCCAGAGGCAAGAGTTGATCGGGAATTCCATGCATAGATTCCACACAGGTGTGTGAGAGGGGAGGCAAGAGGGATGGATGTCTCCATTCCTCCTCTAGCAATCTGCTTGGTTTCCAAGTTGGCTGTGGAGGAAAGGAAACCATTTTTCTCCCCTTCAGGTTCTGATCCTCCTCTGCTGGGCCATTTGACAGAAGACTTTTTTTTACACTAGCCTAGCATCTTGTGTTTCCATGACAGCAATGGGATAAGGGTCTTCCCTTCTTCTTCAACCAGCACAGAAACACCAGCTCCTGGCTCCTACAATGCTAGTAAGAACATTTGCAAGCTTGTTTACGAGGGGAAATTCGGCTTGATAACCTTTGGGGTTTCTTTTAACGCTATGATTCAAGGATACGAACTAGGATAACAATCCATTATTGTTGTTATCCTAACTAAAGAAGTATGGACTTGACTCCCATTCAAATAAGAAAAGAGGGAAAGGCCTAACTCTAGTTTCCGCTGTCCGATATCATTCTAATCTCCTCTTCAGAACTAATGCCCCAATAATGTCTTAGATCTGGGCTTCCAGTTCCTCTCTGCCTTAATGGAGGCAGCCCCCATGACAAAGGCAAAGGATTGCTGGCAAAGGATTGAGGGTAATTATCCTTGCAAATTCCCCCCAGGGGTGGGGGCAGGGAACGGGCTTCACTTGCAGTACTGGCTCTTGCTCCGGCATGGAATTAGAGGGGCAGGGAGGCTCTGAGTGCAAAAGCACTTCGCCTGCCAAAAACCCTCCAATAGTGCCATGAAGAAGCAGAGCTTCTACTGTTAACTAGAGCTTTAATTGGACTAAAGTACAGGTGCATGCTAGAAGAGATGAGATCATCAACTGTGGAACTAACCAACTGCAAGGACTGTAAGGTTTGAACTTGAGATAAGACTTAATTCGGTGCAAAAGATGGTGGGGGGAAAGGAAGCCTACGGTTTCTTTAAAGTTTTCTTCTCTAGGATTATGATTCAGCAACTCTCCTCTGAATGTTAGTTCAAATTATAGTTGTACAAGCAGGGATGAAAGAAATTGGATTATAAATATGGAATACAACATCAAACGGAACTGTGTGTAAAAAAAGGGAAAAGGGAAGGAAGCTCTATTTTTCAAAAGGTTTACGATGGAAACTTAGAGCTGACTCTTCCCCGTCTGTTATTATTTACGAAGTGAACTGAATAACACTAAGAGGACTTGGGTTTTGATTTAGTTGGAAGTATGATTGCTCATTTATCTTCAGTTGGAAGGAAGGATGAAGGAGTCTGTGAACTGTTAAAGAACTGATAAGGTTCTTTACTGAGTCATCTGCAGTTTGACAGACCACTCTTCTTCCCAGGCGGAGAGGAAAAATGGTGAAAACAGGTTATTTACTGGGACAGAGTGTCTTCTGCAACTGCAAAAAGTTGCAAAGCAATGACGCACGGGACAGAGCTATGGATAAACTTCTGGAACAATGAGATATCAGCTCCAACCAAGGCATGATGAATAACAGCAACAACCGGGGTAAAGAAAGACATAGCATCTTACAAGGACAGGAAGAAACACCACAGACAGAATAAGTGCCATACACAGGAAGAACAAACATATAGTTTGAGTTCCTCACTTGTAGTTTTATAAATCATTTAATGTGTCAACACTAGAAGACGTTATTAATATTGAAGTGTTGTACAAGGGATTAATATAATGACCAGAATGCAATGGAAATTAGTAAGATTTTGGCATGCAGAAATATAGAAAAATTATCAAATCTAGCGAGCAGGGGGGCACTTTATCTAAATTATATAATATGGAATTTGAACAATTGGTATTAATAATTGTTTTATAAATTGGTTTTGTTATAATGAGGCTATTATTGGATTGTAATTGAAAACTAATAAAAATTATTATTTTAAAAAATGAGGTCTTAGATCTAGAGGAATTGTAAACTCATTGTAATCTGCCAGTCAGTACACTCAAGGGAATACTACTCATGACACCCAAAGGTATAAGCCTCAAGCCACAATTCAGTGGAAAAGTGAAATCCCCTGCCTTAAATATATCAAAACTATGGTTCTTTTGGATTAGTCAACTGACTGTGGTAGAGCCAACTCACTAGCATCTCTAATAAGGGCTTTAGTCCATTTATTAAGAAGATAAAAGATATACTGGGGAAGAAGGGGAAGAGAGACAAACCTAGTTAATAAAACTGAAAAAGCTTAAATTAATCCATAATAGAACAAAGGCACAAAAATAGATCAGTGTACTGACTGGAACTGAAAAATGAATTTAATATAAAAACTATATAAGGAATACTTTTTACAGGCCCTGCTTGGTACAGAAAATCAGCCGTACTCAACACATGCCAGTCTTTTAAAGCATGTTGATATTTCTGGTTCCAGTGGTGATACCAAATGCTTAATAAAACCCATTCTATAATCAGAGAGGATAATTTTTTAACAAGAATTTAGGGGACATACCAAACTTGTATCAAAAATTTAAGTCAGGCATCATCATCATCATAATACATTAAACCATCTTCTTTAAAACTGTCTTTGCAATATAAAGTATTCTCTGCTATTTGCTATGCTCCAGCAGCAATTTCATAGGTAATTAAGAAGCGAAGACCAACAACCAGGTTAAACTAATGTTTTGTGCTCACCTGAGCTGCATATTCTGCTTCTTTGTCCTTTTCCAAGTTAGAATCGCAGGTACATTTTTGCTTTATTACCTGCTCTAACTTCTTCTCCAAGTCCCTTTGCTCAACATAAAACTCTTGCATTCTTTGAGCATGCTCAGTCTGCAAAGATTCAAGTTCTTTTTGCAAATTCTGCTGCTCTTCTGTTAACTCCTTCATGGCTTTTGAACTACTTAACATTTCTACTTCCTGTGAAGAAAATGACCAGAATTACAGTGTTAGCAACACCACAAAAGCACAAAGCATTTATTTCTATATTGCAAACTTCTACGGTCACTATCCTTTTTGTTATGCAGAATATAGCTTCAAGTTTTGTGGCACTTATTTGAAACCAGAGAATGGATAAATTTCATGTTCTTGGCAGCTTTTCTTACAAATATATATATAACTATGTTTGGCTTCTACAGTTCATAAAAATTAGATTCAGTTTGATGTATGCAAAAATCATACTGTAGGCTCAGTGGAAAAGAATGTACTTTGCATGCAAAATGTTCCAGCTTCAATCCATAACATCTCCTGGTAAGGTTGGGAAAGACTCGCTCCTGTATGAAACTCTGCAATACTGTGCAAGGTGGACCAACAGTCTTGACTTGGTATGCAGTAACTTCCTATGTCCTACCAAAATTTGTTCATCAATACAGACCATTTCAGTAAGTTTGCACACACGCTGTACAGTCATACCTCACGTTACTTTGCTTCATGATACGATTTTTCAGGTTGCGTCCCGTGGCGACCCAGAAGTACCGGAAAGGGTTACTTCCGGGTTTTGCCACTCGCGCATGCACAGAAGTGCTAAATCGCGCTTCGCACCTGCGCAGAAGCACCAAATTGCGCCACGCACCTGCGCAGATACAGTGCTTCAGGTTGCAGGCTTTTCATGTTGCGAACGGGCCTCTGGAACAGATCCCGTTCGCAACCAGAGGTACCACTGTATTACCTATTACAAGCTTGCACATCATGTTCATGAACCTGACAGCTAGTGAACTAAAACCAGTTTAACAGCGTTACAGTAAAATTTGAGTAACCTGAGTCAGCCCTTCAAATCCCTGTTGTATGTATATGAAACAGGAACACTGAAAAAAAGAATGAGCTTGGCACCATTGTTGTTTTAATTGCCTCACTGGAGAAATTCATGTCTGACCATTCCAATTTACAAATAGTATGTTTCTGTAATTATTTTCCAGTACGCCTACAAAACCCAATAATGTTTCTTTAGCTATTTTTCAGTATGTCTGTAAAACCCAAGATGATCCACATTAACACTGGAACAGCTGTTTTCATAGAATTGTAGAGTTGGAAGGAATCCCAAAGGTCATCTAGTTCAACCGTCTGCAATGCAGGAATCTCAGCTAAAGCACAGAATCATCGAATTGTAGAGTTCGGGCTTCTCTCAGCCTCTCCTCACAATCGTCTTCCTTGACACTTTACCCAGCTACGCTTTATGCTCTCATTCAAACTCTTTAAAACGTTCTCAAAGCCTAATGTTATTTAGTGCCATCACTATATATTTTCTTTAAGCTACCTTCAACTTTGAAACCAAATATTGGGGTGGGAAAGGTTTTTTTTAATGTTTAATGCTTTATTATGATTTTGCCACCCAGAGTGGCTTGGGCAGGGGTCTGCAACCTTTAAGACAAAAAGAGCCACTTGGACCCGTTTCCGAAGAAAAAACAACAACTGGGAGCTGCAAAACCATTGCAACATTTAAAACAAATATATCTCCGGAGCTGCGATCTGACAGCGGGCGGGAAGGTGACGTCGGGACGGTGCGTGACTAACGCATGCACCGCCCCCATGCGACGTCACAGCCAGTACAATGCCCGCCACAGTGAGGAGTGTCGGGGCGCACAATGCGCCTCCTCCCCTCGCTAGTATCCGCCCCGGAGCCATGGCAAAGATGTAAAAGAGCCACATGCGGCTCCGGAGCCGCGGGTTGCAGACCCCTGGGCTTGGGCAACCCAGTCAGATGGGCAGGATACAGATAATAAAATTATATCAGCTTCAAGGACAGACATATGTGCCTGAAGGAACTGCACACCACTAACTGATGGAATCTAGCAAGCATATTTACATCTAGCCAACAACTACATCGGGGTTGGCAAGGTTTACCTTGCCTGGGCCGGTTCACTCCAGCCGAGCACGCCTGGATTGCCAGCGTCTGTGCAGACACAATTTCCGGTGCCGCAGAAGCGAGTCCCCATGCCGTGCTGCACCGCTTTAGCGCAGCGCAAGGGGATTTGCCAAGCGGGCAGCTCGGTTCGGGGGTGGCTCATGGGCCGGTCAAACGACCCCCATGAGTTGCTTGTGGCAATTGGGCCTTAGGTTGCCGACCCCTGAACTGCATGAATGTTTAAGGGGGGATATGAAGTATCCAACAGTGCATCCAAATTTTTGTTCATGCTTCTCTGGCTCACAGGCTACATGATTCAATTTGATATCTCCACTTGTTATGCACAGGCAGCTCTTGCTACTTACTCAGGGCGCACTGCAGAATCAGGAGTTTAGCATATGTCTTTCAAACTTACACTGATCATATTTACTCTTATCTGAGTGAAGTCCCACACTGTAAAAGGGCAGTGTACACCAATCTAGAAATACTTAACACTTTTAAACAACGCAAGCAAGAGTCATTAATAGACACTCAAACCACAGAAGGGCTCTTGTGTTAAGGTTTCATACCACAAGTAAATAGAAAAGCTGGCAGAGAGCTGGTACAAAGATAATCACACTAATTAAGCCCTTAATCCTTGCAGCAGAGTGAATTTCATGCTTATTTAACATGCTAATGTTACACATAAGCATAAGATTGTGTAAACACCTAAAGTCTACTTGATTCACTTTTTCTGCACAATACTGGAGCCAAGTGTTAAACAGTAGGCTTCAGCAAGGCACTCCTAATTCAGAAAACTTGATCAGGCCCCAGTCCGGGTCCCAAATGCAATGAGGTGGCTTGCACAGCCCCTAATTAAAAATTAGGATTTAAAACCCTAATTAAACATGTGGTTGGTAGTGGTGAGAAAGAGGCAATGACTCCATAATCTCCTTCTCCCACCCCTTTGATAGCTATGGTTTGCTCCCAGTAGACCTGACCTGAGGTGATCTGGAACTGCCTCAGCCCACTTTAGATAAATCCCGAATCAGGCCAAATCAAACTTGGTTCAGTTCAGGATCCAAGATTTGTCTGGAACCAGATGCACAGCCCTATTCTATAGCAGCAGAGTACTATACAGAATGCTGAAGGATTGTTCCATACGGCTTCAGATAGTTTTTTGTATATACTAAATGATACCCTTTCTCCCACATTCAAGTCAAAATTGTAATGGCGGTGGTTAAATCAGTCTTGTAATTTAATCCACAAAATTAATCACCAATATCAATTTACAGGAGCCTATGCTAGTTCGAAAGCATGTCAAAGTGCAAGCAGATAAATACATCAACGTGCAAGTAGATAAATAGGTACCGCTCTGGCAGGAAGGTAAACAGCGTTTCCGTGTGCTGCTCTGGTTCGCCAGAAGCGGCTTAGTCATGCTGGCCACATGACCCGGAAGCTGTACGCCGGCTCCCTCGGCCAATGAAGCGAGATGAGCGCTGCAACCCAAGAGTCAGACATGACTGGACCTAATGGTCAGGGGTCCCTTTACCTTTACTTTATGCTAGTTGCCAGTGATTTGTGGCCTAGAGGTAGAAAAGGGGAGGCGTGGCAATCAGTGTTGTAGAACTCCCTACTTAATTCCCTATAGGCAATTCTTAGTGGCTATCTACAACCTCAGTTTTGTGTCTAAAGCTATCTCAAGTATCCCCATTCCAGACTTCTAATCCTTTGCATTTTGTGTAAGGAACCTCTGGACAGAGTATTTCCAGAGCACTTCCTCCAGTGCAGACACACAGTCTACAATGTAAGAATTTATAATTATGTAGTCATGGCATTTTAGCATACAATAATAAAAAAGCATATCCAGGTGGTGACTTTAGACTCTAAAGATTATTCCAGTAACACCTGAGGTTTGGCAGCCAAGTCAGCAATTTCAGTATTATATTAGTTTATAGTATATTAAGTTAATGTAACTCAAAATGAGGAGACAAGCCTTTACCTTGTACGATCCTATCTGTGTATTATTGTAGTTAACACTTCACGGTAATCAAGATTTAAAACCACTACAAAAAGTTATGCAACAAGCAGGTTTCAGAAGACAGAACAAAGCTAAATCAAATACATGCCATACCATCTGAAGATGTTGCTTCTTTTGCAAAATTGTATGTAGCTTTTCTTGCTGTTTTATATAGGTTTTCATTACATCTTCCATCATTTTCCCTTTGTCATCATCACAGCCAGTATCACGTGGAAGAGTCTGAGATGAAGTTTGTGCACTGCTGATTACTTCTACCACGTCTTCTGTAGTCACTTTGGAAGAGATCTGTTCAGCTTTCCTTCTGCTTGCAGGTTTAATGGATACAGGCCGCTCTATAGGAGTCAAAAAGGTAGGAAAAGGTAATGATTGTTGAAATGCTACACTGGAAAGCAGCTGCACGTTACAAGATGCAAGTGTACAGAAAGATGTTTCTTTTTCCTACTCACCTGAATTAGCACACACTTCTGTACTAAGTTTCAGATCAACTTTCTCTTGTACTTCAAGAGAAAGATCCTGAAAGAAAATGGCTTTTTTACGTTTGCCACCGCTGTGTTGCTTCACTGACTGTCCCGGTAGAGATTTAATTACCTCTGAAATCTTCTCTGCGGTTTTAGTAGCTTCTTTACATTGTGGCACAGAAGAGGTAAGGGAGACATTGGGAGCAACCATTTTATCACACATATAGAAGTAGTAGCTGGAAACAAAAAAATAAAAAAGCAGAATTAATAAAAATTATTTAAATCAACTGAATTTGAACCATGAATTATTATTACATCTTAGGTTTTAAAACCTGGGAACATGAATTAATTTGGCTTTGGTTACAACAGAACAGATTTAAAATGGAAATCTGTTTTAAAGCAGTGGTGCATATTCATTGTTTAGTTTAACAGGATAAAAAACAAATCAACTAAGGAAAGCAAGATAGAAATCAAATCAACTAGTTGCTATCATGAAATATGAATGGCTCATTGGCAAGGATGAATAAAGAGAAAGTTTTAGTTTTTGTGTATTACTACAGTACCTCACCTTATTCAACTCTGTACTCTTGAAAATTTGCATGATGCTTTTAGGCTATCACTTTATCACATAGATTTAACTGTATATTATACAAAATTATGAGTGCTCAAATTGTGCAGAAGATGCCACTCACATTGCATAAATAAACCACATTATAGTAATGGAGCAACTTCGCTTTTCCCACAGATGAATATCAGCAGGGTTACAGCTGTGAGTTAGTTTAAAGACAGAGCAGATTAATTCCTAGTAAAACCAGTTCCTTCCCTTATTAACTAACAAAGGAACCCTGCCATTTTAAGTTTTCGCTTATTTACCTGAGGACCGCATAGTTTATTATGTGGGAATGGCTGCACCAGTGTTTCTGCTCCCAAAATCTGCATCTGCAAGCAAATTGCTACAGAGCAGGTGATAAATGCCTGTGTTCTCAGATTGAAGTGGAGACACATATAGGAAAATTGTATAGTGTAAAGAAGCTGCACCGCAGCAGCTAAAGAGCTGTCATCAGCTTCGTAGACAGTCTTAATACATTTAAAGAAAGACCACCCTTTAGTAGAAGATTCCCATGGTGGCAGACAACTCATGGAGATGAAAATAATAAAATAATTCTCAAGTGGAAATGAAAAAAAATTCTATGTGTAGCAGGCATAAAAGATGTCCAGCATAAAACCACAACCTAAAGCCAGTTACAGAACATGCTGAAATGTCCTTTCAGTGCTTGGCATTTGTATTTGCCCAGACATCAGAGCTGGCACCAGGAGAAATCCTCTAAGGAGGGAATGCTAAATATGGCCTTCTCCCACGTCACTATCCATTGAACTTCAGGAAGTGGTGTAACCCACAGATGAGGGCCACTGATGAATAATGAAGAGTTCAGGTAATCTCATACTGTAGCAGATGACCCTTCATATAACTTAGTCCAAGCCTCTATTCATCACATCCGTCCCACTCTCCAAAATTTCCAGTATAGAAAGTGATAACACCACCACCGTGTTCTGCAGGTTCTTGTACACTACCTCGGCAATCCTGTGTACATGGAAGTGCTTTGAACACTAACAGCAGCATATAAATCCTAAAAGCATACTTTCAAAAGTGCAGCCTTGCAGCCTCAACTACTCTTATTTCCTACGCAGTTTAAATAATATTTTATTTCCAATATCAACTACACGGGAATTCATACTGCTATTTAGAAAAGGAAGGTGCAAAGAACACAATTTTAGCAAATTTTAGTCACAGAACCATAGAATTGCATAGTTGAAAGGGAATATGAGGGTCATTGAGCCCAAGACCCAGCAAGGCAGGAATCTTTTGTCCAACATGAGGCTCAAACCCATGACCCTGACATTAACAGCTTCATGCTGTACCGACTAAGCTTGTTTTAACCTTTTCTCTTCCATTTTCCTGTTTTTGCATTTGTGTTACGCTGTAGAAATCTGAAATAATAATGTGCAATTAAAAAAAAATGTTTTAAAGAAATTCTCTTTGGGGGATGGAAGCCAGATACATTTTGAAAGCTATTACGAATACCTGGGACAGAGGGAATCTGTTTGGCTGGTAGATATGTGACCATAATGAAGCAATGTGCTCTGTTTGTGAAATTAGCTGAGGAATGGCGCATGTGATAATTCAACTGCTACATCAGCATTATACAGACATGTCATCAGCAGAGCAGAGCTTCCCATGGTTTCAGTGAGCTGTGAAGCGTGTCAACTCTTCACATGGTTGAAAGACAGCTGCGTTTAATTTGTGAGACTGACGGACAACTATACAGCGCAAGTAGAGTCTCCCATGCAGCAATTTAATGTTAAAACCACTTTTGAATATAGATTGAAGTTGCTATTGTGCACACACACACACACACACACACACACACTGCAACAATATATGCCCAATTAACTCTGGACCAAATCTAGCCTGAGAAAAGCAGCTCCTTGACAGGCTGATACAAATCACCCCTCACCGCCATCCGCTTTAGGAATCTGCTTCCTAACTAGATTGGTACTTGCTGCTGTAACACATCCAGCTTTACATTAGCCTAAATTGTATATGCCCGCAAGTCTAAGAGAGAGGCAACAGAGAAATCTGTGTCAACTACAGCAGGGTAATCAACCTTGCAGGTAAGTGGGAAGAGCTCAGCTTGGAGAAAAATGTGAGTGGGGCAGAACTGGATTGCTTGCAGGGGTAAGTCCATAGCATAGTAAAGAGAAAGCTCTAAATTAAAAGGTGCAGGTAACTGAAGGGCTGAAGAGCTGGGATAGAAGAGCCAGGAGACACAACAGGTTGCAAGAGCACAGTGAAAGTGCTGTTGCACTTGCACTGGTCTGGTCCCAAAAGATGGAAGGAGCAAGGAACAAAGAATCCACTTCCTGAGCCTCCTCCTTTCAACATCCGCTTGACAAAGCTTAAAAGGCCCATATCCCGGGCAGCCAACTTCAGTCACTCAAGCAACTATGTAGTAATTTTCCCTACATATGCAGCTTAAGTGTTCAAGCAGGTCTTCTCTTAGCAGCTGGTTTAAGTCCCTGGAGGAAAAGAATGAAGGTGGTCCCAGACAGGCGTTTATTGCAGAATCAGTGCTGCTTAGGCACAGATGTTTTTCACCATACTCACAAGACATCACCAAAATGCCAGCTGATTATTATTAATTGTTTGCATTTATTCTGGATTTCACCTTAATGTGGAAGATGCAATACATAAAAATAACAGCTGGATGTGGAAGGTCATTAATAAATTTTGGGGGGTGGGCTGTTTGTCCCATGAGGTGACATTTGGGTGTGTGGCCTTTATCGCTGCACCATACTTTCATTTGCTCCTTACCTGATCACACAAGCTAGCTGTTTTGTTTCTGGTGGCTGAAACTTCATAATTGAGTTTGACCATTTCCATCAATTGCCCATGGTGAAGTCACAAATAAATGTTAGCAACCTGGTGCGAAGGAACTGTTCTCTCAGGAATGCCACCGAGTACATGCAATAGATTACCTTGGAGTCTGCAGTACATACACTGGGCTCTATTAATATATGTTTGTTAATAAGGTGCTTTTGCACAAGACCTCTATGAATCTTGCACAAAACTTATACAAGTCAAGTAAATATCACTCTTGCACAAAAGCTCAGTTTTACAAAGAAATCAAGAGTTGTAAAACAGCAAGTGCAGTGAGTGTACCAAAAGGAGAAGAAAGGGGAAAAAAGAGTAGAAACTGCTTTGGAAGAAGTGGCCCATAATACCAAAATTCAGCTCTAGATTGGTCTAGAGCAGAATGGGGTATATCTGGCCCTCCATATGCTTTTGGATTACAAATTCTGTAATTCCTGGCTGAGGCCAGGATACTTATAATTCTGAAGGGAGATAGAATCCAACAATATATGAGGAATCACAGCCTCCACATCCCTGGCTCAGGAGGCCTATAATTATTTCTTAAGAAATAATTTCTTAAGACACATGTTACATATGTGACCAAACTCTAGAACGTTCACTTATCCTTGCGCAAAATATGGACTACCCCTCTAAACGTCAAGTTGTGCATTCACTGCTTATATTCTTGACAAAAGGATGTTTACCTGGGATGCATGAATGAGTGCGGCTGATTAACAGAATCTGCTTCCTGCTTTACAACTGGATACCATTGTTGAAATTCTAGGTTGTACTGAGAATCTGCCTGAGGAGAGAGAAAAATCAGCATTTATGTTTTATGATACAACATTCCAGTTGTGAGAGTTATGATCTGGAGGAACTGCTTTACAATTATTTCTCCAATGTCATCAAATTAGGCAGGAGAAATTGCAAGGCAACAAAACAGAAGCAACAGTAGAAAAGCAAGATTACCTCAGTTTCCCCCATTCCAATTACAGATGAAAGAATTAGCAGCTTTCTTGAAAACTGGTCATCTTCCAGCTTTTTTTACTACAATAAATATACTATGCCACACATAGGACCCTGCTCTGGACAATGCTCCCATACTGGCATGGGGTGGGCTTGAAAGACTCCCATGAGTGACCAAAAGTGATCCTGTGCTTCTTTTGATCAAAGTACATGCTTCAGAAATATTCATATATTGCGTCAATGGCAGCATGTGGGATTTTAATTCAAGGTTCTTAATACCATCATCATAGCAATGTATATCAGTATGAAACCTTCATAATGGATAAAGATGGGAAAGGAGCTAGGGTTTCCACGGCCAGATAAAATACTTATTTCAAATATGACAGCTTCAAAGAACCTTGAGAATTTCAACTTTCATTTCTGAAGGTTCAGCAAGTATAGGACATGACTGCGGAGAATGAACAAACAATGTTGTTCTTCCCTCGGTGAAGGAGCACCCGTAGAATAACTGAAAAATCTCAGATCAGGAAGCCTAGTTACTGGCTTCAGCCTCTTTCTTTTAATCAGAAAGCAAATTAGTCAGGTAGATTTTTACAGAAAAAAGTAACGAGAAGGAGCTGGCAGAAGTCTAGATGCAAACCTTGTCTGAAAAAGCCACATGGCTTTGCCGCTTCAAAATGTGTTTCACACATATACATCAAACAATATTTCTTCTGTAGGAAAAGTGTTGTATTGGGATAAATTGGGCCACTTCAAATGGGACGAAAAGCCTAAATGGAAAGCACTACTGCATGTGAAATAGCATCTCAACTTGTGTGATAACTGCAAATTGCTATGAGTGAGAATTTCAGAGATGTAGAATTAATTCAGTTTTACCATTAGCCCATGACCTTGCCTTCTCGTTGTTCTATCCCAACTAACAAGCATAAATCTAAGTTCTTAAAAACCGCTTCTGCGATACCTGAGAGCCAGCGTGTGCTTTGGCTACTCATTACTCACCACTCAGTTATACTGTGAAATTAAAAAGCAAATTTGTTCCAAGAACCAACTTTGCACAGAGCATTCATAGTGAAACTGAGAAGCAGAGAACAGAAACAGAGTTTTAGTATGTTTGTGTTTAGATCACAGATGGTGAAACTTCAAGAAAGGGATCCTCCCCGGGGCAAATCTGTTTCAGCGTATCAGAACGCTTGCATCTGTACACAGATCTTTTTCTTCCCCTTTGCACATTTCATGTATGTGCTAAACCATGATGAGTCATTTCATATGCTTTATGCGGAGAAGACAAAACACTATTTTCACAAGACACATGGAGATGTATATGTGCACCAGAAGAAGTAAAAACAGCTGGAGTTCCTAATCATAAGAACTTGCCTTCAAAAACATTTGTTTCTCCCAAACTGTGTCACAAGGACACGATATCCATCATGAGGTTACTAAAAAATGATGGAACATCTCGGCTCCATAGATAATGCCAATCCTTTTAACAACTCTGCACCTGAAGGCAACAACACCTTGCACTATGGCTTCGGATACTGTACTTAATTCGCTTTTCAACCTTCCCCAAATCATAATTAATTAAAAACCTGTTCTGACACATGCAAACATATTATGAGAGTCAAATAAAAATTTACCACGCCATTATGTTTTTAAAAGGATTGGACCAAAAGTTTCAACAGTAACATTTTTTAAAAATAAAGGCGTCTTGAATTTCCCCCTACCCTCCTGAGTAATTCTTATGCAGCACTGCTTCTCTGATTCTTGCATTTTCAGCACTTACAATATATTTAGAGTCTTTTTGGGGGGGTGTCAGCCAAAGCCAGTTAGGTGTAGTTCATATTAGCAGAAGGGCATTCCTCTACCCCTCCTCCACCCCCTTTTTTCTCATCAAAATGTGAAGATCCCCAGAATCACTGCATCTTAACTATTCTTTTGCTACTTTGCTTTTCACATCTCAGAAGTGTTAGAAGCACTGCTGAAGCAGCAGAGTGTTTCTAGAATTTCTGTTAATGCTGGATAAGGATGTTCCTATTCTCACGCATATAAATTCTCCTTATAAAAGCTTTAAGTAGCATTTTACATTCTGTTAAGCTAAAGGAGAGGATATAGTTGTATCATTCTTACCCAGATGCACAATTACTCCTGGGATAATGTTAATTGTCTTGCATTTTACAGATAACTTGCCCAAACCCAACAGCAATAGTTCCTCTAGAAATAAAAGAGGGGGAATACCACAACTCAGATGTAACCAGCTTTCTTTATATATTTCTTTCCTCCCAGTATTGAAAGAAAGGGGATTTGGAATGATGTTCAGAAATACGTTCAATACACTTTAAGATCAGTGCAGTCCCTTCTGTTTCTTCATGCAAATGCATAGTTGCTCAACTACAAACATGCTAACACCCTGCCTCCAGCAGGAAGGGAGGAAGGTAGATAGGTGAACATGCATGTTATTGGAATGGTGTTGAGTGTAGAATACTGATAGAGAGGTCCTTAGCTCTACGCTTCTTCCATATTTTAGGTAACCACCCATTACCAAACAAGCACTATTCTACACATAAGATGAGATGAGAATATAATTCCCTGAAACTGTAATTTAATATTCTATCCACGAGACAGCCCAGGTCTATTAAGTATGAGGAGTCTCACATTGGCACATCAACAAAACCATAGTCTTCATAGCAGTCGTTTGTTGTGTCCTTATTTAAATTCTCCCTCTCGCACAAATCACTCATTAAAACTCATATTGTGAAGGCTCATGGAAAGGTCATCTGTATTTATACAGCAATATGTAAATGCAGCACAATATTTTGGTAATACATAGCCCTTCATTAGCCATATTGCAAGAATGCAACAAAACGATAATGAGGTTGTTTATAAGCCTTGAGACACAATGTATCAATCATTTTCTTTTAAGGTAAGCCAAAATATTGTCTAATGAGTTACCATACCTTAAGCTATGTTGTCATTTAATGAATAGCAACACACTTGCTACATCTTTAATGATCATATAAACCTGATTAAGCTGGGAAATTTATAGTTTCTGTCGCCATAACAAGTTCAGTATCTTCTTGGCCTGTGTACCTAGAACAAGTAAGCTCCCAATCACCCATCTGTGGTCCAACATTCATTTAGAGCTGTATTACTGCCAGTCAATGGACAATTCATGGCTGAGACGACGCCTCTAGGCAAAACCTCACATGAACTGTACTTCTCGCTACTTTATTTTACTTGTCCTCCACTTCTCCCAACAGGCAGACAGCATAAGAAAAATGAAGAAGCTAGCCTATGATTAAATGGACTGATTTATATACTCATCCATGAACAGAAGTTGATCCACCAAAATCCTACAACTTTTATCTATTTACTATGACTATTGGAAAAGCAATAAATGGAAAGGGTAGTGATTAGCTTTTTCCCCTCGCCTAAGTTTCGCCTCTAGAAAACCTGGTCTTTTAGATGGAGTAAGTTAGTGCTGTTTCATTTGTTGCCAGTTAAGCTTTTGCTAGTTATGAATTCGGAGTTCCCATCTCCTGTTTCCCCATCAAGCATAACAGGGGGGAAGTGTGTGGGGTTTTTTGGTACATATCATGGACATTTGAAATTTACAGATATGGAAAGTTCAATGTGGGTATGTGCAACTACCAGTATAGCAATTGCTCTCCATGAAGGAATTGAGTTACAGCTTGCCACTACCCTTATAAAGATACATGCAACGATTCCACCCATCTTCATGCCTCCTCTCGAGAATTCTTAGGCGTGTGAGCATGAAGCTGAAATGGCTACAGATATGCCCAAACTGCATTTTGAAATGACTGCATCGCACTTTGCGGATGAGGCTTGCTGCCTTCATCAGATGGGGCCACGTAAACATGTGAAGATGCCTTAGAACCAAATTAAACTACTGACTCTTTTAGCCCATTACCATCTGCTCTGTCTGCAAACATCTCTGCAGGGTTTTTCCCTAGCTTGCTATCCAAGACTATTAATTGGAGATTCCAGGGACTGATCCTGAGTCACTCTCAATAAAGGCCATCACTCAGTGGCAGAGCATCTGCTTTGCATGCAGAGGGTCCCAAGTTCAATCCCCCATATCTCCAGGTAGGGCTGTCAGAGACCCTTGCCTGAACTCTGGAGAGCCATGGCTAGCCCCTATTTCCCATCCTCTCATCTACGCTGGCTTAAAAAGAATCTCTTGGTGCTTCTTGCCTGCTCTCAGTTTCTGACAACTTCCACCCATCAAAATAAGCTTTGCTAAGTTTTTGGAGCAGGACCATAGTTCAGTGATAGAGCTCACAATTTGCATGCAGAAGGTCTCAAGTTCAACTCATACTATTTCCAAGCCAGCTTAGATGAAATCAAGCAACACATGCTAGGAAAAGGCTGAAACATTGGGGAACCTCTATCAGACAAGGCAGATGATACAAAGCAGCTTTGTATGTTTGTGCATTTGTAGTTTCTTTGATGTGTTATGAAAGACACAGTATATAGTACGGACAATGAAACAACTTCTAAAGGCTACCTATATATAAAATTTCTCCAGGTGTCCATATCTCCGAATTGAAACAAACAACATTTTTCTATTTAGAAGGCAGAAAATAAGAGGTGCTTCTGGGATTTTAAAAGTAGACACAATAATAATCTATAATGGAAAAGATAATTATAGATATTTAAACACTATGCTCCAGCATAAAAGATATCTGTGGGTCTTGTTATCTGTATTCTTTTGGTGCTCTTTTAAAATAAAGCACAATGACTTCTATCTATTTTCTTTAGCCATATTTAACTGTGGAACAGTTTACAACATATAACATCTAATGAAAAAGACAGTAACTCATATTTTGTAGAATGGACAGTGCTCCATGGTTACATTTATCATTGCCTGGTGCCAAGCTATTTATAACAAGCATGCATGCGTGTGTGTAAAGTAAAATCAAACAGGCAAGTCTGTACATCAATGTTAATTGATGTTCCATGCACTTAAGTCAGTTAGGAAGCAAGAAGTAAAATTCCAAACTTGTTAGCTTATCTAATATCCCTGGGTTTTAAAACAGTGAAGTGTTATTTTGTTGTATTTGCCATGATAACACTTCCTGATAACAACTTAAGTTTTTCAAAAATTAAAAGGGTCCAATTTACATTTAGGAAACACCTATTTAGAATACTTTTAAGGCAATTTTAAATGTTAATTAAATGCAAATATTTTACAACTATAAATAAACTTACTTTAGCCTGGATTATTTTCTGATTTTTCATACTGAATTTTTCTTTCATTTCTTCCAAGAGACGCTTCATATTTCTCTCTTCTGGCTTGCCTAGATATTTTTTGTTAATATGAAGATAGCAATGCCATTTAGCTGATTCAAAGCCCCAGTGGCAGGTCCTCTTGTCAGGAGCTCGATGAGAATGCATCACAAATGTTTGGGGAGAAAACATCGAATAGCACTCTAAACACTGGATACATGGCGAATCTGGCTGCAGATAAAACTGTGGAGCAAATAAACCCTGACACTTTCCCAAGCATTCGTGCTCTACTTCAAAGGCACCGCCTGTCTCTTTTAGCTGGGCCAGTGAATTCTTCGCGTGAAGCAGGCTGCCATTTTGAGGGAAAGTGCGAGGGCGCAGCAATGCATTGCATAGTCTCTGAGCATCAGTCAGTGTGATCAGCCCACAAGACGGGGCATTAAACGGAAGGATTCCCAAAACCTTTAAGATGTGAAGCTGGTCTGAAGTGCACCTAGAGCAATAGATGTAAAGTTCATCGCACACTGTGTTAATTTGCTGTAAAGAAAAGTCACGGAGCACAGAATTCAAGACTTGAGGCAGGCAAAGTCTCTGTTCCCCTCCAACGTTAAAACAAGATATAGACTCCCCTTCCAATAAAGTCTGTGTCAGCTCTGTAGAGCTGTCGGAAGGAACAAGCAGTGGACCAGGAAGGATCTGGGGCGATGGGAGAGGTACAAAGACAGAAGACGTGCTTTCTTGAGAATGGCGAGCAGAAAATGCTGCTGGTCCTCCCAGCGAACTCTGGCTACTTAAGTGGAATTGTGCCAGTGTATGTTTCAGCCCTGGATTTAAGTTCAAAGGCTCAGATGCTGAAGCAGTGTTTGGTTTGGCATCTTCCTCTCTGTCCTCCATAAAGTTTTCTTCACATTCATCCAAATGTTCCTTCTTTATTGTTGGCAATTTATTTGCCACAGTTTGTTTTACATGCATTTCTGTCATTGCTTTTTTTGCTGGAGGACTGTCCTCTTCTTCTGCTGCAGTCCCCTTTTGCTTTGACTGACAACCACGGGGAAAGTTTGTCTGTGCAGCTGCCATAGCTGAACTTTAGATAGGTGACTCTGAAGTTTGATCACTGGCAGGTCTTTCAAATCTCAATTCCTGGTTGTCTCAGCTGCTCAACCAGTATGGCTGCTTTTAATTAAATAAGACACCAAAGTAGGTAAATGCAAAGTTCAACACTCTGCATTTAAAATCACAGCCTAGAAATATGTCATTCAAAAATACTTTTTCTCTAATTAACTAAATATAAAACGAACAACCCAATGCACATATAAAAAGGTTTTCCTCAAATCTTCAAGTCACTGGTCTTGAAACTGATCCAGTGATTTTGATCCAATAGAAAACTGTGATTTAGTACAAAGTTAAGCTTTGAAGGAGATTTCAATGTCTACAGGCTCTTCCATCAGAACACGGAAGTTCTCAGAGTCTGAGATGTGCTGCTTTCAAACCTACACTTCTATAAGAGGGGGAGCTTTATGTGTCAAATCTTGTTATTTGCACTATCATAGACAAGGTTTTGGATTTACTGTCCAACAAAGTTTTCCAGTTCCATCAGTCTCAGTGTTAATTCACCAATAAACACTCGAGTGGAAGCCGATCCTAGATTGTTGGTTGTAACTATATGTATATAGGTGACCATTGCGAAAAATGAAAATTAGCTCCCAGCCATCAGCAAAATTGATTTCTTGGGTTCATCCTTTCACAAAATCTGAATGAGGGGTAGAAAAACAGACAGGTATTTTATAATCAGAAATGTACTAAAGCAATCAAACAGTTTCAAATTAAATTCATATATTTTAAATATGCACACTTAACACAGCAATAGTGTTTCCTGAACTAACATAATTTGATCGGTGAGAGTGCAAGCTTGAGTTATAGAAGCTTTATCTTGTTAAAATATTCTGGGCACTACTTTCAGACACTTAATCAAGAATAGTCAAATAAAAGAGATTGCTATGCGTATTTTCCCTTAGAACCAAAACTATTCACAAGAAATCCATGATCTCTCAAGATCTTGCCTTGGTAATGGACTGGATGACAGCCAACAAACTGAAGCTCAATCTAGATCTAGGACAGTTCCCTAGAGCGGATGGATGGGAGGTTGCCTGCTCTTGGAGGGGTTGCATTGCTTCAGAAGTAGCAGGTATGCAGTTTGAGGTACTTCTGGATCCTTTACTGTCGCTTGAGGCTCAGGTGGCCTCAGTGGTCCTTCTATCAGCTTTGGCAGGTGGCCCAGCTGCACTCCTATCTGCACCTCTATCTAACCACTGTTGTCTATGCTCTGGTAACCACTAGGTTAGATTACTGTGATGTGTTATACATAGGGCTGCCTCTGAAGACAGTTCGGAAACTTCCAACTAGTGCAGGAATTGGTGGCCAGGTTGCACACTGGGGCAAGATGGTTTGAGCATATTACATCCTGACCCACCAATCCTGACTGCCAATTAGTTCCCAGGCCCAATTCAAAGTGCTGGTTTTGACCTATAAAGCCTTGAACAGCTCAGGATTTCCAAAAGCTGCCTAGCCCTACTTGTGGGGGAAGGAGGCATGTTTTCTTCCGGCACACATCTTTGTATTTCCTCTCCCTGTTCCCCATTTATTCACCTGTGCATATTCAACAATACAGACATGTGCACTCCTGATATCTTATCCACCTCCTCCATTTCAATGTATCAACTGTTTAGACATATTATGAAATGACAGCCTGTCCTGCATATAATACAGGTCCTGAAGTTAGCTAGGCAGAATGTAAGCAAAGCAGACATTCCCCTTGACTTCTCCTCTCGTCCCCTACATATTCTGTTCCCTTTACTCACATTCCACTCAGTATTTACCCCATAACCTATTTTGAAGGGGAATGGAACAACATAGGGGAGGCAAGTGTTAGTTTCTCTCCCACCAGTTTTGTTCCCTTCTCCTCTTGCCCCAATTGCTATTTCCTGGTCTCAGAATTCTCCAACATTTCCCCATAAATCTCTCTCTCTCTCTCTCTCTTTGTAATGCATTTCTCACCCCCTCCCAATTCACATATTTGTTATCTCTGCTGTCTCTAACCCCCATCACCAGGAGCTAACGCCTCTCAATTTCATCACACAGTGAATCTACACAATATAAGCTATTTAGAAATACAGGGGTGATGAGAAAACAATTATTTGGAAACAAATTATTGCATGTTTAAATAAAAAAAATACTCTTGGAATTTGTAGAATTGAAAAAAGGAGCACTTCTCTCTCATACTTGGTAAATTCAGAATCTACAGCAGAAGTCCTAGGAAAATCAAAGTTCCCTTTAGCCTTTTGAAACTGGTATATAAAACACAAATAATTGCACTGCAACCATACACATTTTACATTTGGAACTTATGTTTTTCATGCAATAATAAAGAATGACAACACTACTGTTGCTTCAGACAAAGCAACTCCAACATAATATATTTTCCCTTTCAACACATGAACTGCCTATACCCTTCCCTTCTAGTTTTTGGTTAATACTCAGCATTTTTTGTGGGGGGTGGGACGGGACACATTTAGCACAGGAGTTCCTCACTCCCTAACATCACTAGTTTCAAAAATCTACCATGTAAATCAGCTCATTTCTCCCATGACTAAATGTATATGCTTTCAAAATAGTCTTTCTCCAGACTTCCTCAACACACATACCACAATTACATGATTTATTTTACCCCAAAGACAATCAGAGCTTCCCACTTCCCAGAGTAACTTTTTGTCAAATTACCACACTCCATCCAAACCTAGCCCTACAAAAAAAAAAAAATCACAGAGAAAGACTTTCCCCTAAAAATCATTCAAGATGTCACAAAGAACCATTAACCTTACTAATATCCACCTAAGAGTCCCTTTAGTCTACCCTCCCAAAGACATGCAAAATCTCACAGAATTTCTTCTCCCAATGTCTTTTTGCAATACAGTGGTACCTCGGGTTAAGAACTTAATTCGTTCTGGAGGTCTGTTCTTAACCTGAAACTGTTCTTAACCTGAGGCACCACTTTAGCTAACGAGGCCTCCCACTGCCGCCACAAGATTTCTGTTCTCATCCTGAAGCAAAGTTCTTAACCCGAGGTACTATTTCTGGGTTAGTGGAGTCTGTAACCTGAAGCGTCTGTAACCTGAAGCGTCTGTAACCCAAGGTACCACTGTAATTCTTATACACCCATCCACAGTAAGCCACCTCCTGAAGAAACACTCAAATATATAAATACCTGTATTATTATTATTTAAATTTGCATACCACCCTTCATCCGTAGATCTCAGGGCAGTTCACGAACAGTGTGCACACCCTAGAACATTTCCCAGAATCCTCCGCAATATGCAGGCATTCCAGAGCAGGTGAGCAAGGGGTTCCTCAGCAGACAAGTCAGTCTGTGTGGAAAAGGTCCCCTGCAGCTGGAAATCTTTGAAAGCCACTCACTCAATACCTTATAGTCTGGAAACTCCTTGTCCACAGACACTTCTGTTCTCAGGAAACATCCTAAAGCAATGACTTAACATTCCCACAGCCAATGCAAGTGTGCCTTTGCTTGCAAACCCCGACAAAAGCGGCCCTCCACCCCCCACCCCACAACATCCTGCGCTGAATCATTCCTGGTAGAAGCTGCTGCTGCTGCTGACCCGCCCCCGGTTCCCCCCACCGCCTTCTACTAGGAATCTCCTTCCACACCTCCAGCCCCAGAACCCCAACCCCAACTCCTCCTCTTCTCGTGGAATTTCCCTGCCCTGCCCTGAACTAAACTCCTTTCCCTTCTGGCATCAGACTTAACCTGCTGCTGCAGACGCTCCTCCCCCGACAGGCGGCGAGGAAGGTTAAGTCTAGCTAGCAGAGAAGCGACCGGGGGGGGGGGAGAGGGAAGGTTAGGCCGTGTGGGGCGGAGTGTCTGCAAAGAGTCTCTCCAAAGACGCCCTCAGATTTTCACCTCCTCCCCTCCCTCCAGCCGTATCGCCCCTTCTCTCTCCGTCCTCCCCTCCCCCGACGCCACAGCTTCCCTTCCCAGGCCGACGTTGCTCTCCAGAACAACCTCCCTCCACCCACCCCACTCGTGCATATTTGTCTAGTTTATTGCATTAAATAAAATGTTTAAGGAAATCCTTCCCCCCCCACTCTTTTTTTGGGGGGGAGGGAGGTTGTTAGTCCGATCCCCATCGCGAAAGCGATCCTTCCCCGACACTAAGTAATAATTACCCCCACCTCCAAAAAGGAAGCCTATTTCCCATCCCCCATCCGGACAGGAGGCGAGTCTTCCCCCCCCCCGGCACCCCCTTTGCAACACACACACACACACCCTGCAACTGCTCTCGGCTAACCCCACTCCATTCCCCTCCCCCATCACCCTTCCTCCCCGGGACCATCCCTTTCTCTCTCCCCCCCCCATTGCCTCAGTATAAACACGGAGCCCCCCCCAATACATACACCCTCGTCTCTCCCCCCCCCACGCCCAACTCCCCCTGCCCCGCTTCTCCTCCCCGAGGGTCCCGCCGGCCTCACCTTCTTCCGAGAGAAGCGAGCGTCCTTTCCCCCGCTTCACCGTCCATACCTCACAGCCGGGCTGCCCCCGACAGAGGAGCAGAAGCCGCTGACGCGCCGCCCACCCGTGACCTCACTGCGGAGACAGAGGAGGAGGAGGAGGAGGAGGAAGGAAGGAAGGAGGAGGCGGCGGCGGCGATGGTGGAAAAACCACCGTGACTGAGACGGTGGCGGCGGCGGCGGCGCGCGGGCACGAACCCTCCAGGAGCGCGCGCCCCGCCAAGCCCCGCCCACTGTCTGGGCCAGCTGCTGGCTGGCGCTGGCTCTGGCGCTGCGTGTGTGTGTGTGAGGGAAAGAGCGCGTGAGGCAATACTTTCCCTTCCCTCTCTGTTTGCCTGGGAGAAAGCCAGCCCGTCTGCGCCGCCGCCGCCGCCGCGTCCTCCTACTAACCGCGGAATTTATAGAGCTGTTCCCGCTCCGCCGGTGTCCGCCTCTTCCCACCAGGCCACCCACCCCCAGAATATAAACACAGGAATACGTCTTCCCCTCACACACACCATCCCTCTCTTCGCTCTTCTCTGGCCGTCCAACAACCGACTGCCCGCGTCTTCCTGTCTGCCCTCCGCTTCCTTGTGCCGTATTTCTCCTCAGCGTCGCTTCACACGTTACGCGGGGATCGAAGAGCCCAGGTTGGGTTTCCCGCAGCAGGACGCGTGCAAAAATAAACTGGAGTGGACCGCAGCGCCCTCTGGAGTGCACGCGTCTTGTGTCACTTTCGGGCTTTAGGACTTCTCGAAAGCAACGCTAGTGAGGGGAAGTCAGCTGAAAACTGCGGTTTTCACGTTGTTTCTTAATAGTTATTTCCTTGGTTTTGTCTGGTGCGTCGGCGCCTCTCTGCTGCGGTTGTCGGGGATAGCTACCCCGGAGATTTTGGCGTCTGAGACAGGAAAGCCAAAGGCCTTCCCCGCATAACAATTAACTCGAGGGCACTAGACTTCCCAAGTGGATTGTGGCTGTGACTCACATCTTTGTCTGTCTGCCTCCCGGGGCGACCACCCTTATCTCACGGTGAAACTGCCTGTGCTTGTTTGTCCTCAGCTTGCCTAGTCAAAACACTTCGCCCAGTTTTGCCTGCTTCTTTGCTCCTACGTGCCAGTAGGTTAAACAGTAATTGGGTGAAAGTTTGTCACTAATTCAACTTTTTTAAAGCTGAAAAAGCATATTGCCCAGCAACCCAAGTGTAAACACACCGTTGAAGACTCATGGGCACCAGCTGTTAGCTTTTCCTCTAAGCTTTCGCCACAAAGATTGGGGTGAAAAGGAAGGAGAAAATAAATGGCCGTGTAATAGCTTGCACATTGTGCAACGCACATGTATGCACATGCACTGTTTTCTGTCAACAGATGCTATCAAGTGTATGGGCCACAATCCAGATACAGGTTCACGCAGCCCAATAAATTGCTAGGAAGACACATTCCCATCTCTAATGTAAACCACCCTGAGCTTCTTTTAATTAATGCAGCGTATCAATATGTATGGCAGGTCCTTGCTAAAGAAGTTTACCCCATCCAATTTTTGGCAAAGGAAAGCAAAGGGAGTGGGGAAATGATGAATTCAAGCAAATTTATTTACATTGGACATAGTTTAACTTTAGCTGCTGTAAGAGCCAAAGGGTTAGGCAGCAGGGTGCAATGGGAAGCAAACTGCCCTGGATTTCCATATAGCTGCCCCCCAAACCTATTGGTTCATGTTGCCTGAAGTAGGTAAAACAAACGAGACTGTATTTATTCTCCAATTCTTCTTAGTCTTACTCTGCCTTAAAATATTGTTGCTCTTCCTTAACCCCCTAGTAACCTAACCATTACTAGCAGAGTTACATAGGTAAGTGGTAGTATAATGCATGCTTACCAAATTTATTCAATTCCATTCACAGGTAAGAATTGGGATTGGGGGCAGCCTATCTAGTGTTATCTAGGAATGTCTGTATTATTGTGTTCACCTAACAGACCACAAACAGAAACATTTTAAAAATATTCCTTTGTTTTAACTCAAATACATGCTGATTCTTAGATTGTAAAACAACAAAAAACACCTGGCCTAGAAGGTCTTTGACTGAAGCAAGTCAAGCTCCCAGCTGTTTCCTGGCTGGCCTAACCAGGGGAACAAAACTGCTAGGGAGCAGAACCACTCGGTATGTGAATGCCTCACGCTGTAGGTAAAGCCGGTTCTCTTCCTTGCCTGAGGATTTTCTCTTTTCTGGAAAATTATTTTAAATCCATGCATTCTCTGTTGGAGGGAGGGAGCATAAATGTAAAAAAATAGTTTGAGTATTTTCAGTTCTAATTAGGTATTTTTATTCTAGAGAATGGATGGGGAATGTAATAAAACATAGACAGTGCAAACCTAATTACCTATTAGAAATAGAAGTTGGTCCTACTGAATTCAGTGAGGCTTAAACAAAAAAAGGTAAAGGACCCCTGACAGTTAAGTCCAGTCGCAGAAGACTGGAGTTGCAGTGCTCATCTCGCTTTACAGGCCAAGGCAGCCGGAGTTTGTCCGCAGTTTTCCCGGTCATGTGGCCAGCATGACTAAGCCGCTTCTGGCACAGCGGAACACCGAAACCAGAGCAGCGCATGGAAACACTGTTTACCTTCCCACTGGAACAGTACCTATTTATCTACTTGCATTTTGATGTGCTTTCGAACTGCTAGGTTGGCAGGAGCAGGGACCAAGCAACGGGAGCTCACCCCATCGCGGGGATTCGAATCGCCAACCTTCTGATCAGCAAGCCCTAGGCTCTATGGTTCAGACCACAGTGCCACCCGTGTTCCATTCAATGAGGCTTACTCCCAGGTTTACTCCCAGGTAAATGGGTTTAGGAATGCAGCTTCTCAGCAGTTCTGCATTTGGAATAGGAAGGTTGGTTGGTGAAGCAAATAGAAGATGGAAGGTTTTTGGCTACTGATTTTTTGGTCTCTCCAATTATTTTCAATGTCAGCACCAAATAAGTTTGAAACTTTGATCCCATAGTGATATAATAAGCTAATATTTTAATAAATCACTATGGAAAGCCAATGGAAACCGGGGAAGCCAGTCATTCTATTAAACTGATAGTGCCCTAAGGTTTGAAACAGATACCTCTTTTACTGAAAAGATGGATGTTTAATTTGATTGTATGCTGCTTTGGGGGCTCATGAGCAGAAATGCAGTATGTAAATTAAAATATACATATTAAATAAAGGTTTGGTCTCTTAGCTTCCAAACTTTTACTCAGTAAGTCTTGCAATTTACACAGATTCATAGGTAGGGGTGGCCCAAGACATTTTGGCACATGAGGAGGAACCCAAAATGGTGTCCCCCTCTCCCAGCCAGGGAAGAAGGGGTCAGGGAAGATCTACATAAGGAACAAGGAGGGAAGAAAGATCTACATCAAGATCTGCTGCCTGTGAATCCTGCCATCTGAGGCAGTCACCTCACCTTGCCTAGTGGATGTGCTGGCCCTGCTCATATGTAACCTTTAATTTGCACTAATCCTAATACATTATAATTCATCTCCATGAATGCCAGATCAACACTGATCAAAAACGGAATTGTTAATAAGAGTATAAATATAATTTGGAGTGAGAAAGAAGAGCAGCTGTTAAAACTGAACACTAAAACACTAAAATTGACTAGTGTTGCTAGTCTAGAGAAAGGGAAACCTATCCAGAAGCACTTGGAGTATTAGAGCTACTTACTTAAGAAGATGTGGTGTTAAATGTGTAGTCTTACTAGATTTATTTACTTTAAAATAATAATAATAATAATATGCTGCCCATCTGACTGGGTTGCCCCAGCCCCTGGGCTGTTTCCAGCAAATTAAAACATTAAGCACAGTAAAGCATCAAACATTAAAAACTTCTCTAAACAGGGCTGCCTTCAGATTTATTCTAAAAGTCAGATAGTTGTTCATTTTCTCTGCCTAGTTCCCTGCAGCCTCACTTCTCACAATGAAGGAACTGCCAGAAAGGTAGAGTTGGATCTCAGTATCTGGGCTGAATGATAGGGTTTATAACAATAAAGGTAAAGGGACCCCTGACCGTTAGGTCCAGTCGTGGCCGACTCTGGGGTTGCGGTGCTCATCCCACTTTATTGGCCGAGGGAGCCGGCGTACAGCTTCCGGGTCATGTGGCCAGCATGACTAAGCTGCTTCTGGTGAACCAGAGCAGCACACGGAAATGCCGTTTACCTTCCCGCTGGAGAGGTACCTATTTATCTACTTGTGCTTTGACGTGCTGTCGAACTGCTAGGTTGGCAGGAGCAGGGACCAACCAACGGGAGCTCACCCCGTTGTGGGGATTTGAACCGCCGACGACCTTCTGATCGGCAAGTCCTAGGCTCTGTGGTTTAACCCACAGCGCCACTCGTGTCCCCATTTATAACAATACTGTACACATAAAACCATACAGTAAAAACAGACCTCAATTAACCATTGCAGAAAGATGTATTCTTAATTGCCTGCATAGGTCTGGTGGAACAGAAATGTTTTCAGCAGGTGTTTAAAAGTTGAAATAAAAGGCACCTTGCAACCTTCAAATAACTCATGCCAAATTGTAAGGACTTGTTCTTAAGACTCATGGCCACAGGATTAGTTTAAACCACAAGACTGGGAGTAGTCAGGGGTTAAAATTGTCAGGCACAGGGTGTTGAAAGCAGCACAAGTGATGGGGACAGCTTTTTAAATGCACATCCTTCATTATCTCTGGTGGCTCTCCAGCAAAGCTTCAAAGATCAGAGCTTTCAGTTCTCATACAAGATGAAATAAACACATCAAGTTCCTTTAAAGAGCTTTTTATATGGCACACAGAAAAAACTCCACAAGGCAATTTTAAAATCTCTTTATAGCTCACCTTTCACTTCTTTTAATGTAGTTTCTGATAGGTGGTGTCTCTCTCACCCACACGTGAAAGGAGAAGTGAGACAACTGATCTGCATTTCTAATGCACAAGTGAAAATTGCTATTCCAAATTACTTCATGTTAAGAGAGAGGTGTTGACTAGTGTTGTACAAAAACTTAAAAATACCCTTCCTGTCAAACTGGTTAGCATACACACCAAACCTGTTTCTCAAACTGCTAAGATGTATACGGCACTTTGTCACACTGTTTTATGAATTAATTCAAATTCATCATTTCCATTTGTGAACATCTCTCATTATCTACCACTTACAAAGGATATGCGCTTCCTACATTATCTGAAAATCTAAT